AACTAAAATAAGAACCGGTACCAGTTTATGATAACTGAAAATATTTTTATTTAAATATTTTTGACTAAGTTAATATGTATACGAAATGTTTATAAATATTTAGGAGACAAAAATATAAATACAGGATTTGATTTGTTGCATAAAAACGTGTAATTACTATTTAAATGTCGTTTTAATGCTTTTAATTCAATTCATTATTATGTAAGTTCTATAGATTTTAAATTAAATACAAATTTTGATTTACTAGAATGTCAACAAATGTCCAACATTTTTTTAATTTAAAAAATATTTATATTTAATTCGAATTTTATAATATATTCAAGGAATTTTATTTTATTCATAATATAATGCTACACAGGTGATAATATATATTAGTATAACATCTAAACTTAAAATATTCATAAAACGGGCAGTATAAATTAAATAGTATATTATTATCCACTATCAAAAAATTAATAGAATTTAAAATAAAATTATGTTAACCATAATTTATTAATAGGTAATAAAATTAAAAACTAACTGAGTGGATAAGAATTATGATACTAGTTTTATATTGAAATTAATTTAAGAGAAAGTCAAGGGTATAAGAAAAACTTACATGAATATCAAAATAATGAACATTTTTTTTTTTTTTTAAATTATAAATAAGTAATTACAACTGGATTTTATGGAAGTTGATATTATAAAGAGAAAAGTGAATTTAATTAGATGAACAGTAACCACATTTAAAATACGAAATTAACAGCTTTTAATTTTAAATTAATGGGGATCAGGGGATGTATATCTATAATAAAAATAAATAGTTGAATAGCCATTACGAAGATAGATACAACCATTTTTTAAAATATAAAACACAATAATAATTTTTACAAATCTTTCTTTCATTTGGAAAACAAACTCTTATTAAATTTAAATATTGAAGATCTGCATAATCAATGGTTGATATTTATAAATCACAAATTTAATCATACTTAAATTTGATACAAATTTTACTTTTATTATTAAAACTATCAAACTTACACAGTTACCTATACAGAGTATACATTTTCTGTTCAGCATTTATGTTAAAACCAAATTATATATATTGTAATTTAAAAACATTTTCAATTTCACCTTCGTAAGTAATATAATAGTAATGATACTTTTAATACATAGTGAATTGTTGATGGCATATTATTCTTTTAATTTAAGAGATAAATGAAATAATTCTTAATTATTACCTTGAATAGCCTAAACAATGGATTAATATTTTTTATCAGTTTTCACCTAGATTTTAGATATTAAATATAAGAGTATATCAAAATATGATATTTGAAAATGTTTTGATATGGATGTAAGTGTATATAAATATATACATACCACAAACTAAATTAACATTATAAAAAGTTAAAATATTATGTCAAAACATTTTATGATTACTAATCTGAAGTGTTAGTCAAACCATTGCTGGAATCTGAAACTTCAAATTCTTCCACCAACCATGTTTCCTTGAGTAGATAGATGATCCATGTTGAAGACATATTTTTAAGCATAAATATCATCTTTATAGGTATAAGAAAAATAAAGAAATAATGTAAATTAAATTAGAAAAGTGTTTATTTGCATAAGACACAATATGTTGCGCCAAATGCTAATAAAACTTAAAACTAATCTTTATCGCAGTTATACATTCTATGTTTATAATCCTTTAAAATTAATTATTATATATTAGTAGTTTAAATAATTTGTTTGATTATATCCGCTAGTGAGGCGATGCTTCTTCAGCAAGTCACTTTTACCTGGACAAATACAAAATATTATTTTATAAAGCAATAATCAAAACTATTTTGGGACCCTTATGAATATGAAAATTAAATTAAATATAATTTTATATAGATTAAAATATTAATTAAGATTTTCCCAATATATTTGTAGTACTATAAAATATAATACATACATATATATATATATATATATATATACATACACATATGTATATAATCAACTAGATACAATGGAATGAGATTTCGATAAAATACAAATTAATCATCAATCAAATTTCCTCCCAATGCCAGAATTTTCAGTGGAAATGACCTAGGCCATTAAAAAGTACTGATCTTTGCCAAGAAAGTGACAGACAACAAAATTCTAATTATCAGTGACTCTCCGAGTGCCCTTCTATTTATTGAATCACAAAATCCTTTAAATAAGATAGTCCAATAAATCCACAATATTATATCTTCGATTCATAATAAAACTAGTAAACTTATGAGGGGAGGAGGTCCTTTCTCACACAACCATTACAGAAAATTTGTCATATTAGCAACATATTAACAAGGTTATCACTTCTCTCTTTTCCACAGTTATAACTATAATTCTGAAGTTCCAAGACATAAAAATAATATAAATACACACACTGATAACAAGATACAGCAAGCACATTGGGAATGAATAACAAACATTACAATTAATATACAATTAATAATACAATTCAAAGGAATAAAAATGAATATTAAAAATTGGTATACTCAACCCAATACTTTCTTATATAAAAACATCATAACCACAATAACAAGAATCAGATATACTAAACTCACATACACCTAATAAAATATGCTCCTTAAACAATATCCTTTACGGTTTGCTATTTGCTACTGCAAAAAAAATCCTCAACCATCTTTGATGGAAGCACTTGGGTAGCCCAACACAACAATAATCTATTAATTTTTCAAATTAACCAAAATGAACACCAACAATTAACAATTAACTATAAAAATAATTTATGTTAATTTAAAAAAAAAAAAAAATGTAAATATGGGCTAGTGACCTAGCTGTCAAAGCATTTATTCCCAATAAACGATTATATAAAAACTTAAAAATTCTTATAAAATAATTCAACATAAATTAAAGGGAGATGATAAAAAATCTTCAAAATATTCTGATTTTGTGAATAACTAGCTCGTATTTAAAATATATTTTATTATAAAATAAATAGATTATAGCAGAATATTTATAAATTTAATTTTTTGATAAAAGTATGTATAAAAAGCTATAAATTATATAGTAAGATCCAATAATATCAGTTTGCATGATTGAAAAGTTGAAATTTAATTAAAAATGAACTAAGAGAAATTTCTTAAGCTGACCTAAGGCATACAGCCAATTTATCTTTATTCTGAATATACTCAATGGTAAAATTGATTCTCTTACTTTATTATCACAATTTAATTTCAAAGCCCCAAGTTGTCTTGTTATTACATTCTCCATATCCCAATATTTCATTCTTATTATCTTAACAAATAATAATTTTGTTGCTAGATGCAAATAGCAAACTTGGATTTCACATTCTCTTTTTCATAAACTTATATGATGCTTAATTTCATATTATTTTAGTATTGTAGTTGTTTTATTATTTACAAAAGTGTATGATATGTATTAAATATTAATAAACAAAATAAATATCATAACCAACCAGTAACTAACAATTTACATTGTTATATCATGCTTAGTTAATGTTTTAAAATTTTAAATTTGGGGTAAAATAAAATTAACTCGATAAATATAAAATATATTTAATTTTAAAATAGGTACCTTGTATTGAATACAAAAATATCCACTTAAAAATTGTATCACTTACCTTGTCAATATGCCATATATGTTAAATTAAAAATCCAACAGACATTCAAATTTTAGTATCAATATGAATGTCTGTGATAATACTTCATTTTTATGTTGACTGAAAAGGGTTACCTACGAATCGACCATATTTATTTACGCATATTATATAAGTATGCATAATGCATTTTATATACATACACTTAAAAACACATACATTTATATCAGTTATATAAGGGAGTTTATTTCTGAAGGTGTTCCATCAGACACCTAAAGATAATCCTGAAATGTAACTTGTCACAAAAATTATTCATTCATTATTTATAATATAAACACAATATAATAAAATTTTAAGTGAACCAATATTTTTAAGAAAAATAATTGGTAAATTCATCAGTGTCAGTGGATTAATAAATTAGAAATTGAAAAAGAGTATTATAATTATTAAAATATAAATAAATATTTTCAGATTTTATAGATACCAAAACTCTCAGTTATACTTAAGAATGATGCAAGTCAATAAAATAATTAATTACATTTTTTCATACCACCAAACCATATATTTTATATCAATACTATACTTAAATTAACATTATGATTAATAATAATATGAAAATGTAATTCAACATCCAAGCCAAATTAAATTTTGATGATTAAATATAGTAGAATACCTCATTAATACATGATTCAAGGAGCCAATCAGAAAATGTCCATTAAAGGATCATTTTTAAGGTTAGTATTAAGCATTATCATATTAATGAATATATATTTTAAGTTCATTATCATTACTACATAAATAGAAACGTAAAATGAAGTAGCATATGCATCTTAGGCTATACTAAGAATATATTCAAATAATATAATGGTATGACCAAAATATATTTTTACATTTGAAGAATTCTAAACTTAATAATCAAATATTATTGGGTATATAGACTGAGATTTAAGTACTTATACATATTAATAAGGTATGATTAATCTGTACAATTTGCAAATCGAGAAGATATATGAAAATTCTATACCAATATAATTTCTTAAAGTGTTGTATAAATACTATTTAAACAAATAAAAATGTAATACATCAATCAATTTAAATAAACCTATCCTGTATGGATATTTAATGATTACTAAAATGAATTGAGGAAAAATTAAAAAAAATGTATCATAATACATAACACTATAATTTGAATTATTTTTTCATAATAGTACCATTTTTAATATTGAACTATAGACATTTTTAAATAATTTATCCAACTTATTTACACATGGATTGATGATTTTAGTTACTTTGGTAGCAAGTTTATAATTAATTAAGATCTGAGATTTAGCCATAATATAAAACACTGACACTGGTAATACTTCAAAATAAGTAAATAATAAATAAATATGTAAATTTAAGATCTTACGTGGTAGTTTTTTGCTATCTGAAGGAGAGGAACTCTTGAGTTTCTTTTCATTTGGGGAATCTGATGAAGGCGACAAACTTCTTTTTTCAACTTTAGGTAAAGATAAAGGTGCTAAATTCTTGGTTACTTTTTTAGATTGAGCTTTAGACTTAGGAGGCGGCGGAGGCTGCTCTTCAAGACCAATGCTTCGAAATTTTGACTTGAAAGTTTTAACAGTTGGTTTTTTTTCACCAACATATTCTTTCTTTTCAATATGAATGGAATAATTTTTTTTCTCTAAAATTGTTTTAGATTCTGGTAGTTTAGGTTTAGGAGCTGGAGGAGGTAATGGTCTTATTTCTTTTTTTGAATCTGACCCAGAATTTGAATCACTATTGTACTTTTTAGAGTCATTTAATAATTTTACTTTTACAGGTTTTTCTCCAGAAGAAACATTTTTTAAATTTTGTTTTCTTCGACTTGCATGTTTGGATAAATTTAAATTACTATTTTCAATTTTTTTGTCTTCGTCAGATTTTTCATCAGTCATTTCCCCAATTATTCTTAAAAAAGGATTACCATTTTTATCTTTCAAACGTCTTTTTTTCTCTTTAGCATCATCGGAGTCATCTTTAATCTTGTCTTTTATTTTTTCTTTTTCAATCTTAGGTTTTTCTCGTATCTTTTCAATATCATCTTTAACTTTTAAATTTGTGTTAACTTTATCTTTCTTCAGACGAACTTTTTCATTTTCAATTTTACCTTTTGTTTTATCAATTTTTGTTTTGGTATCTATCGAAATATTATCACTAGTTGATTCTGAAGAAGCTCCAGAATCAATTTTAGGTGCATTTAAAATTGTATGAATTACAGGATCAGATTTTATGTTATCTGATGAGTCTTGTTTTATAAGGCTTTCTTTTTCACTCATCATACTATGCCATTGCTCAGTTTTGACAACTTTTAACCATTTTTCTACTAACTGTTGTGCAAGGGTTTTCACTTCTGAAATTTTGATAAGAAAAAAAATAAAGTATTTATTTAAGAAAATATTTAAAAATAAAATAAAAGCACAACCAGTTAAAGAATAATTTTAATTCCTACTATTAAAATATAACATTAGAATATGTTAGCACATTAATTGAATAATTCATGTAAACAATAGTATAATTTTGGGGAAAAATACATAATATAAATTTAATATTAAAGATATTTTATTACCTTGATCAATATGAGTTTTAGATAACTTTTTGACTAATTTTGGTCCGCCATTAGCTTTTAACCGTTCCATTGTTACAGGAACAATATGAAATATTTTTAATAAATCTTGTATTAGTACAATATGATCAGTTTCTACAGCATCCTTCAACCAATTATAAACTAAATTCCAACCACCAGCATCCATAAATCTGAAAAATTTAATTTGTTATGATTAACATACTTTATAATACAATTAAAATGTAACCAATTCATGATATTTTTAATCTTACAAAAATTGACAAAAAAAAAAACTTTATAATGTTTAAAATATACACTTAAAAGTAACAAAATATGCTTTTGAAAAGAAAATATTAATTTTAATTAAAAAATATATGAAAAATACATAAAATTAAAAACAAAATCAGATTTGATTATTAGGGTATTTATTTTAAATTAAATCCACGGTTTTCAAAAATAGTGATTTACTTACATATTTAATAGATGAGGTGTAGATTCTTTTAAAATAAAAACATAAAGGCTTTTACTAACAATTTTTTTGGAAAATTTTGCCATTAACCTGAAAAAAAAAGATAAAATAATATCTATTTATATTCATTATTCATGAAAATAAGCTAGTTAATGTTCAAATAGACATTTCATTAAACATTATAACGATTTAAAATTATAATATATTAAAATAAAAATAAACCAAACAATATTATAATATTCATCAGAGATTTGACCAGTCTTGTTTGTGTACTATATTTATTTATTTTAATTTTTAGCATTGAAATACTTTGCTTCTAATAAAAATAGGAACACCATAGTTTTATTTTGGAATAGTTCTACCCATTAAAATATTTTCAAATTCAGAAATGTAAAAAGGTACAGTGAAATATTAATGTAATACAAAATCTACATTTTTAAGAAATAATTTACTTAAAATACTAAATGAATTGTCTTTAAGTATATATATATATAGGAATTGAACTAGGAATTATTAATAGAAAGAATAATTCAATTTCTTTTAAATTTTTTAAATAAGGACATAATTTTAGCAACAGAGCTCTTCTTTAAATATACTAGAGATGGATTATCATTTATTTAGCTGTAAATTCATCAAATGTCCTTCAGTATTTTTTGACGGGACCAAAGCTGTAACTAGAGCTAGTGCCATACTTATTTTTAGGCAAACCAGGCAGCTGCCTAGGGGCCCTTATTTTTCCATGACCCCATCCAAGTACCATAAAAAAAACTGTATTTATTCATTTTTTTAATTATGATAATCATATATGTATAATGATTTCTTATGTATGTTGAATACATACAAATTTTAAGTAGTTTTTACTAATACATTTTTAAAAGATCTTTTTATTAGTAGCTATTTTGAGGGGGGGGGGGGTTGAAACCATTAAGTTCTACACTGTCTAAATTCCAAATATTAGGATAGCTGAAATTGCTAAAAATAAAATCGAATAGAACTACATAAAATGTCTAGTTTATTTAGTGCTCATCTTAGACAAACTTTACAGTATATCAATTTTTGGTTAATAACTTCATGCCGATATAGAAAAAACATGATATACTATTTACACGACATATTTTACATTATCCTTTACTCGGTTCATTCATAGATTTTGCATGGTCTGCACTAAAATTAAATTATACATACTAAAATCAAAAATTAAAATTAAATTCTGATTTTTATAGCTTTATTGTATAAAAATATAACAAAAATTTTTTTTAATACCAAAAACACATGTTAAAAAAAAAAAGTGGTTTCATCCATCTAAGTAATTTATTTGCAATTATTATTCAATAGTTATTATAATTAGTATGAATCCTCATTCTTAGCTTATGTGTAACTGTTTTGAATCTAATAGCTATTGACAATTTATAGTTATCATTTTTATTAAATAAAATAGTATTTTAATTATTGGACAATTTTTATTAAATATCTAATTCATCGAGTGTACAAAATATACTTAATTGATTAATAATTATATTCAGGTAGGAATACAACCATAATCAGGCAACGGACGTATTTGACGAATATATATAAATACTTAAATAATTGTCAATTTAGTTGAATAGACCATTCTCACAAATCGTTTATATAAATGTAATTATTTGCCATAGGATCAACGATAGCCACGTGCTTAGTGACACCTTTTTACATTATGCCTGAGAAACTCTGTGCGTCATGTATTTATTATTTACAAGATTCCAGTTTTTGTATTCAGGATGTTATAGGTTCTATATTATTTGATTTGTTTATACAATTTCAAAAACTTAAAACACATTTCGATTGACCAGTCCATATCAAAAAGTAATAGATAAATAATAATAAAAACAAAAAATATGAAAAAATAATATTAAGAAATTATTATGGTTCAAAATTATGAAGATAGGGGAAGTTTATTGACTTTTTAATGTTGCTTTCTTTATTATAGCCTGCCAGATATTTAAGTTCGATAAATTGGCTCTCTAGTAACTTTGAATATTCCATCCCTATTCTAAACTATTGTGCATAAGTGGTTATAATTTGTTGCCCAAATACAGAAATGAAATTTACAGCTTTAATTAAATATTCTATAAGATACGCTTATAATCCTCATAATAAGCTTGATTCACCTACTTATAAATTTATAAGTAGATAAATCTCGCATTCACTGAGGGGAAAGAGATACCATATCTACATATATAAATGTGAAAATGTAATCTTTGTCATGCATATTCTTTAAAAGTACTCACTCATTCAATTATTGCTTTTTTTTTTTTTTTTTTTTTAATAAAAGAGTATATTGCAGTTTTAAGCATAATTTAAATTCTATAAGTCAATTGAGTAATCATTTATTTATAATTGTTTATTTTTTTTTCTAACACCCCACATCGTAGCGTGGCAAAAAAAAAAATTCACATGAGTTTTATGTTGAAACTGTCAATTAGAAAAAATAAGTGGGGAGTTAAATAAAAAGCTAAAAAAATTTAATCATAACAGTAAGACTATTATACATTTTCTCTGTTTGCCTAAAGTAACCTAACTTAACATAAAGCATTTATTTTCATGAACGAAGCCAAGTAATTCAGCTAGTATATATATATATTTCGAACTTTTTTTCTTTTGTTATAAGTAAAATAAATATCTTATCATCTACCACCAATAATTTTTCTTAAAGATTGTAGGATTTAATTTTAAGAACATACTTAAAGAGAGTGTAAAATATTAATCTTAATTTTAAAATATATAATACCAAGATTATTTAATTTCAGAACAACAACTTTAAGTTTCGATCGTATAAAACAATGATTAGGACTTATCATTCACAGTCTATTTTATCACTGGAAATATTTCTCCAATTTGACGAATACTATACACTGATTTCGTATTGACAATTAATGTAATACTATTAAAATTCATACTTTTTTTGTCAGCCGAAGCCTGATTGTTCATTAACATAAAATGAAAGACTAAAAATAGGCGAGAAGTGAATTGTTTGTTATCAACAAACAAGATATACATAATTTATTGAATATTTTAACAATATACAGACTTCCAGATAAGTAGTTAATATTTTATAACATCGAATTTAAATTAAATCGAACAACATTTTTTTCTAGTTTTTATTTATGTGCAGTTGAAATATTAATTAATTATGTGTATATACATTAATTAAATATAGTTTTACATTGTACTCTAAACACAAATCGAATTGTACAGAATCAAATCTCCACCGCCTACCAAGTTTAGATTTTTATTAGTGAAAAATTATATTAATACAAGGTACATAGCAAATTAACCAAAAGCATCTTATATACATTTTTTTTATTCCAAAAATAAAAATTTAATTGTAAAAAATTTTTAAACAGAATTTTTACCATAAAAGAAAAAGTTTGAAATATTTAAATCTATTTGTCATGTTTTAAATGGTTTTTTAATAAGGGCTCTAGTTAAAAAATACATTATAATGAACCTAAAAACTTGAACTCTAAGGAAAATATAAAAAGTTTAGTCAAAGACTTTATACTATCTATTTGATAATCAAGTATTAAATGATAAAATTAAAAATAATAATAAAGACCTTGAATAAATAATTACAATTCTTTCCGACCAAGAAGACATGTAAATTATACATTTATATTAAAATATTAATATAGATAAGCCTATTTGGTAAGTAATAGTTTTTAATTAAAAGTCCATAATTTAAGGTTATAATTTTAAAGTATATTTTTCTATAAGCGTTTTAATAATATAATAATTGAAAGTGATTTGTGTGGATCTTGGTAGTTTTAATTTGACTGTACATAAGTTTTTTTGGTGCGAAGAACCCTAGTAAATAATTTACTGTTAGATAATTTAATTTATCAATTAGTTTATTTGTATGTTTTACTACATTTACATAAATTTAATATAATTGTTAAGTTTAAAATGTTTTATTAGAGTTTTCTAAAATAATTCATTTTTTTTCTTTACAGGTTTATTTCTAAATATCTAACCATTATATAACCAAATAGGCAGTAACTATAAAATGCAATTAAATGTTTGTTAAATAACAGTACATATCATCTGGGTTTTGGTGTAAAACATTGGTAAACAAATTTTGTTAATAACATTGCTAACTCCCAAATGGGTGACTATTTAGGGTTTAAGGAACAAAGCCTCAGTTATCTTCAAATCAAAATGTAACTCTACTAAATCAGTGGTTCTCAAACTGCGTTCAGTTTACCATAATATAATAGAACAATTATTAATCATAATTTAAAACAATATTAAGATAAGATACAAGATTCAACTCAAATATAATTCATAAATATAAACAATATTAAAATCTTGATAAAAAAAATGTCATTTTTTTATTTTAGATAATACACATTACCATTCTAGTTATTATCTAGTCAGATATATTGTATTTAAATAAACATTATCTTGTTTTAAGTTTCTTCCTATATAAAACGAATACATATCATGTGTAATATGCATCATAGAATATAGGCTAATAAAACTTAATATTAAATATTTCTTAGGGCTCCACAAGAAAATACTGCTTAAAAAATGCTCCATGACCAAAAAAGTTTGGGAAACGCTGTACACCACAAATACTACCAACAAGTGACATGTAAAGCGAAATTGTCCAAAAATAATTTTAGAACAATTAGTATTATAAAATTAGCATTAATATTTCACAAGTGAATTAATTAGAGTAGTGACAGTATAGAACTCAAGTGAATACTGACAAAAGAGAACCCAAAAAAGTACTGAAGTCTGATACTGTGCTAAATTTATTCAATGACTACATTAACAGTAGAACCCACAAGGGAGGTTAAGAGGTCATAAACCCCTTAAATGTCTTCCTTCATTAACTTTTTACCATATGTATGCATAGAGTAATACCAAATTAATCTCTATAGCAAATTATTAATGGCATAACAAAAAAAAAAAAATCATGTTTACACTACTGATATATAATAATAACTATATTTTTAAAAAAATTGGGATGATAATAATAAGTAATGACTAATAATACTCCATATACTGAGATTTGTAATTTGTGTAATGGGTACACTGCACAGAATATCTAGAATAGAAACTATTCTATTTTTTTTTTTTTTTTTAAATAACAGTTTAACCAAGTTGTTGAAAATTACCGTTTTATATTATTTCAGGTAACATAATAAAGTATACACAACGACACAAATTTATATAACAATGATATTTATACATAAATGTGTGTATATACAGGCCTTTATTTAAAAATGTAGAGCCCCCAAGCATATAATTTATACCTCCCCTCCAAATAAAGAATAATATAACACTTATTATTTCGTCCATAATCGAGATTCTTTAATATTAAAATATAACTTATAAATGAAAATTGTTTAATAATTTTTTTAATTAACAAATTAAACAAATTATAACAAAATAAAACATACTATTTTCTTTTTTATATTGTTTTATTTTTTTTTTCATTAGGTACATCATTTTTACAATTAATTTTGCCGCCCTTAGATATGTGCTTACTCATGCTCCCCTCTAAATACGGACTTGTTTATATATATGTATATATATATATACATACATACCGAAGCAAAACAGAGTCACTAGAAACAATGTAAAATACAATTTTGAATATTTGGTTAGATAATTTAAAATTTCAGTAGGTTATGGTATATTTCCATTTTGGTTGTTCAGTATAATGCCACTGTAGTCACCTAATGCTGACAGTAGTTGCGATTACAGAGATCTATCAATAATTGAAAAAAATATTATCAATATATGGTCAAAATAGCAGATATGACCAACAGGAATAACTATTACATAGTGATACTGTTCTGTGAATTTGCATTCAGACTGATGTTGGGTATGAATATAACTTTATCTGAGGTTTCATAAACAAGATGGGAATGTATTTCAAGGAATAAAGATCCATGAAAATATAAATAGCTTGGAACATATAAAATAGAATTATTGAAGGAATATCATTAGTAAAAGGTTTAAGTACAATTGACATTTGAAAACATGGTTGATTCCAGATATTGATTTAATACGAGTATAAATAATTAATAATATAGTAAGATTTTATAATTTAAATGTTTGGGGGCAAATGTAGGAAAAAATGTTTAAGGTGAAAAGAAGGGTTGTAAAAATGTAAAATGTAGGATCTTGATAAACATTATTTACATTAAAATGCTTAATTACTCATTATATGTATTATTTGCAAGTTTCATGGGAAAATTTGAAATAATTATTAAATTTGTAGGTCAGGTCGATATTTTTTCTAATATTTTGAGAAGGGAGAGGGGGGAAATTGAACCCCTAAAATCTCCCTGCATTTGTGCTTGTTGATGTGTAAATATGAAATCAAAGCAAGGGATTCCACCTTAAAGATGGAAACATTCTATAATAACAACTAATCATAATATAGTAAAAGTAATTATATTAAACATCTTTAGAGATAATCACTAAAGAAAGTCATATAATGTACTTAATATATAATAAATATTTGAATAAATCAAAATAAAAATTTATAAATAAATTTACTAATTGATAGATAAATTTAAATATCTTAATTGGCTAGTTATGAAACTTTAAATTCAGAGTTGTATATTGTATTAACATATCATAGAAATAATTGTCTAGAAGACGGTATAATTTAATATTTTCTTCAGAGTTGATAAGTTTTTTTAATAAAAATAACGATATACCTTTATGAGTAACAAAACATTATAAATAGAACCTGGATTTATATGCATTTGCATGTTTATACTAAGTGTATGCATAACTATGTTGGTTTAAAATGACCATAATTCATATCACGCCGAGTTTTATATTGAATATTTTGTATATTTCGAGGGTTATTACATATTTGTTCAAAAATGCATAAAACGTGCATATATAATGGGTTTTTAATAAATTAAAAATGTTTGTATTTTTTTTATTTGTTTTTTGAGAGTAGGTAACTTATAATTATCTAAAATATTTTTTTTTTAGTTTTTTTTTTTTTATTTATATGTATTCTCGTTTTTAAGTTTCCTGAAAGTTCTAGATTGATTTAAATGATTTGAAATATAAAGCAGATGATATTATAATTTTTTTTGTTTTTGATAAAATATTTAGAATTTTATTTGGTATAAAAGTGTTTTTTTTTAAAAAAAAAAAAAAATACATTTTATTAAGTGTAACATAATGCATATAGAGCCACTTTTTCTTTGCATATTTGCATCATATTTGACAATTTTTAAATGAATATGAATCAGGGCTCTAATTATAAATAAGTAAATTTAAGAGATATTCCTTCTCAGGAGTAAAGACATACAAAAAAATCCAGACCAGTATATTCTCAAACCACAAATGCATTTAATCTGCTCAGTTTTAATGACAATCATTTTTATGTATAAGTTTTATTTCAAAATGAATACTTGAAATTTATTAAAAATGAAGTTGGTTAAATTAATTCTACACAAAGATCACTACATTTTTTAGATTTATTATGGCGATAAAATTAGTAATTATTCATAATAAAAATAAATATATATACTTTTTTACCTATTTCTTATTAATTTAATAAACTTATTTTAAGTGATCATTTTCTTTAACTTACTAAAATCTACATAATATACATAAAATAGCTACTTAAAAATGAATTATTTAACCAACAAAATACTAAGTACTAAAATAATGTCATAAATATAAAAAACAATAAGGTATTATAGTTATATCATATTTCATACAATACACTAATGCTAAATTGATTATAACTAAGAACTTATTTGCAATTTGTTAAGTTATAATATATAAGATTTTTTTCATTACCTGGATATTTGCATTGCTTCCGGAGGACCTTTAAGACCACCAGTATCTTCATTCAACAATACTTTTAAGCAGTTTAACAACTGCATGGGATCAATTGGAGGCTGGAAATAAAAATTGTCCAAATTAAATATATTACAATTTATGATTTGATTATAATTAATAATTCACAAATGGCAATATTTATTTTTTATATTCATATCTTGTTTTGGATATAATTTTAATCTTATTTTGTTTTAGAAATGTATGAAATGACGTTTGTTATATTAAATAGAAAACATTCCCAAATATTATCTAATAAATAAAATATAATTCCAATTTATATTTGATAGTATAAATAAAAAAAATTTTAAATTTGGTAGTCATTTGTGGAGTTTAAATAATTTAATGTTCAATAGACACATGAAATTAATCATATGAAAATTTAAATTAAAAATATTAAATATACTCTAGTAATCAATAATGGAGTCCCCATTTGAAACTCCCTAGGTATTGACATTTTTTTAGTTATAGCAATTTTTTTTTATTTATTAATTCGACAATTTTTTTTTGTGAATATAGAACAATTATCAAAACCAATTATGGGCCATTATGTATTTTTAATAATACTAATAATAATAAGTTAGATTTTGATAAAAGACGAGACAAAATTATAATGTGTTGTAAACCACATACAATGGTATTAGACACATGTCACTTGTTATAATAATTAATCTAATTTATTAGAATAAAATAATAATCTTAATGGAAAAACAGCAACATTAATAAAAGAACGTGATACGTAGACTGTGAAAATCGAACGAAATAAATTTCGCCATTGTGACGTCATCACGTTATTTATTGAGAATGCAATAAATTTAATGAAATGCATGTATGGCGATCGTAAAATATGAACTGTTTACATACGAAGAACGAACCGAAATACGTGGATCGCTTGAAAGTAAAACTGTATATTAGTAGACACGTGTTATTCATACTTAGGATAAATGGTGAACAAATATTTTAGGCTATATAAGAAACGTATTTCTTTCTAAGTAACGACCACCAATTAAGGATTCGTCATCAAATAACGTTTAGGAAAAAGAGGAATTTTAAAAAATAAATGAACACGTACAATAAGAACGGCAATTTGCTTTCGTTTAACGTTAACTGCCAAGTATCAACTATTGAGTGACCAACAATTTTGGTGGTATTCGTATGAATATATCACCCAAGTGAAATCAACCCAATGCCTTAATAGTTTATAAAGCAGGTCAATTAGTACCCGCGAACTTACCATTGTGTTTAGTGTAATTTGTCTCTGAATGTACTAAATATTACAATTTAACAAATATGAGCACGGTAAATAACTCAATTAAAAAAAAAAAATTCCAATTCAGTAATCAAAATATCAATTTCTTGTACATGGTAATTGTTCCAGCCTCTGTATAATGACAGTCAACATAATATAAATTTAAAATCAATAATTTTGTTTCAACAGCATTCGGTTGTTACGATATCACGCCTATATGTTGCCATCCAAGTATTGAAAAAATGGCGGCCAGAAAGTGCTTCTTCAACGTCATCGATCAGTCGGCGCGGATAAATCAGTTTAACTTTTTTGTTCCCGTGACAGTAGATCTTCTTGTAGCGTTTTGTTAATTAATTTAAAACGACGATTAGTTTTATTTTATTTGATTTTTGGTTTAATTATTTACCGTAAAATAAGTTATATATAAAATTAAATATAAATATATAAGTGAATTTTTTATATATATATATATATATATACTAATGTATGTATATACGCACTGGTGCGAAGGATAGAGTTAACGGTTAATAAAATAATATACTATGATAAAATGTCGACGAAACTGATTATGACAAAGGTCACCGCTTTTCAAACGTAACACGATTACTGCAATATATGAAAATAACGCGTTGCTACTGTATTTATTGATATTCTCCTATCCACCGACGTTGCCCGATCTCGATTCGATGATGATGGTGGTGCCTCTCAAACACACGAAGAATGTATAAACGTAAGAAGAGTTTCTTGTAGACCTTCCGCTGACAACAGATTCAACGAACTACGCCGTAATGGCCGCCAGGCCGTGCTCTTGCCCAAAATATAATAGGCCATAATGTTAAAATCGCTGCGTTGGTGCGCGGCAGAGTGTGCGCGGCGGTCCGAACCCGGAGGTTTGTTGTATACGTGTACTGCTGCACGCGCTATCTGTACGTTTACTGCCGTTCACACCATGCACGTTTAAATATATGTACATACAACGAGCGGAATGAAGTGTCTGGATGAAAAAATAACAGATACACCCAGTTAGTTTTCTGTGATCAGTGACCCCTGATTCGTGATGAGAGAAAACCGTAGTTTCCAAACCTTTTTGCAATGGCGACCCACAATTTTACTAATCTACGAAAACGTAAGCACATTTTCGCTATTGGTCAAACTGGTTTCTCTTATCGTTATATCATTGTCGTAAGATAACGATTGGTGACGTTGATTATGAAAACGTAATCGCTTAAAATAAAAAACTACTCATTAGGTTCATATTGTTTATAGTCTGAATTTGGTAGTAGTACTATCATTCATTATAGTGCATCACTTTTATTAATCGTGAATCGTGACCTAATGAAACCCCTCCTTTTGACGTTGAATGAATTACTTGACTAAAATTATTTTATTTTCTATTCGCGAACCATTATTTTGTGAATGTCAATTGTTAATCAATAGTAGTTCACCATCTGTGTAAGTAGGCACAATTGGATTATTCTAAACGGGACTTTAATAAAAATATTTAATATATTCGATTTTCGTTAATTCTACGACATTGTTATATCAGAAAAAATCGCCAGTAAAAAATATTCTACAATGGACAGAGATTCAAAAAAATTATTACACAAAGTTGTCGTCGACTTAATATGTCTAGGTTCAGGTAAGAAAATGTATGCGTAATAAAGTAGGTATAGTATTTAGAGGCAGATCACCAATTCATATCGTTATTTTGTTTCTGCTCTCATATTCACAAGAATAAATATTCTTTCACTATTTGTTTTTACAAGTGTTCGATATTTTCTTCTAACGTAAAATTTAAAACTTTTATAAATATAGGTATTTTTAAACATTTATTTCCGTTGTTGAATATTTGTGCATGATGGTCTTAAATTGTTTTCTTAATATTTATTATTTTTTATATTATTGGGTCTAAAAGGACTATTTATCTATATTTATTGTTTTCAAGTGCTCAAAAAACAAAATTTCAGAAGCATATTTTATTTATTTGATCAACAAGGTAAAATGTATTAATTATGAAAAACGTGTGAGTATCTTAGCCTTCACAATGAAATAATAGTTAAAATTATGATTTATAAACGTCTAAAAGCATAAGAATTTATCAATGACCTCCATTTTGTACTAATATTTATAAAATAAACTTACAATGTTACTTCAATAAAAGATGGCTAACATTTCAAACTTTGTTAATTATACAGCATGCACAGTAAAATAAATAGTATTAAAAAATATATTAGATTTTTTAGTAGTATGGGTTGATAAGTTTTTCTACCTTTAAAATCGGTTAAGGGAACTTGGAAAAATCTTAATTTAAATAAACACTGATGTATCGCGTTTTAAGTCCATATATTCCGGATGGTATATTAAATAACATAAAATATGAATTGATATTTGATATAATGAAGCATATTAAGTTTTATTGTTTAAAATTTATGAATTTAAAAATTCTGATTTAATTGTTTTTTATAAAAATGATTTTGATGATCTTTGCTTGTCCTATTACTTTATTTTTTTACGATGTGTTACAAAGTAGGTATGAAATATTTTTATAATGTGTTTCCGTAATACAAATATTGAAAAACCTATAAAAACTGAGATTACCTAATTGTTTAACTATACATCTAGAATTTTATAAACTATGTACCTACCTACATACATAGATATTTATGGATTAAACTAATTGGAGAATACCTATGCAAAATTTTTAAAATCTTTAAAAAATAACAGATGATTTGGGTAATATAGGTCAATTTTTTTTTTAAATTAGTTAAGATGATGATAAATACTGGGGTCATTGAAATGAAATATAGAAAAAAATAGTTTTATCAATATTTTTATTCAAAATTTATTTTTTTTACTGCAAATCCTCTGAAAAATCGATTAGTAATATACTTTTAAAATAATCTTAGTAGGTATATTCTGTACTCCATTTATTGAATAAATATTAATTTTAAATTAAAAGATAAACCATTCAAAGTATTTATTGTTACATTATTTTTGACAATTTTTAATAACAATTGGGTAATAAACTAAAATTGTAACGTTTAAAGTAAAATATAGGGATGTCATGGCCCTAGTGTACAGTCTATAGCTCTGAGAGAAGAATCCAATTGTTCTACTACGAGTATCATCCAATTGATACAATAAGCACAAGAAGCTATATAGTAACACTAGTTTTTGAAGCCTTCTAAAAAAAAGAAATATTTAAAATAAATTATGTGTAATTAGATTAAAGAAAAAAGTTAAGTAGAATTTAATCGTTATTATAGTTTTTCGCAGAGCTGTATTTCAGGAGGTGCCCACAATAGTTTTGGGCCTTACTTTAACAAAACGTGTAGGTATATATCTAATACATTTTAATGTATAAATAATTAAATAAACATAATTTTAATTTTTTATTTAATATTATGATATTTTAGTCCCAATGCATAGGTTTTCCATTAATCTCATATATTTTTCTCAGATAGCTTCAATTACGTATGATTTGTACTCTTTTAGTCAATTATGCCTGTTATATTATCATAAGAAGTTTTTACATAAAAATTCAGAAAAAATATTTTTCTTTTCTATTACGAAACATCATTTATTTCTTACAAAACGATTAAAATAAGGACCCCTTACTCTTAGACTTAAATCGTAAGCCCCCATTTACAACATTTCAGGGGAAGGGGGATTACCAATAACACATATATTGATGCATGTTCAGTTATTTTTATTATATAATAATAATAATAATATATAATTATTATATATATTCTAAAACTTTAGGAGTTAGGAGAAATATGGTTTTTTATTCAAACAATTATAACAAAGTAACAAGTCAATGAGGTTTAAGTCATCAATTATCAACAATGTCAAAATAGAAAAAAAATTCAAAATTTCAATTTAAAATAAGAACTGAAGTATTTATTTTTTGATTTGTTGTTGATCTATTTATCATATTTCTGAATTATAATCGTACAGATTATCATGTTATTACATCGATTGATAGGGGCAAACGCAGGAAAAAACTTTGGGGGGGGATTTGAAAAATTGTCAAATTTTGATAAATAGTGTACATTGTTGCTTATTTTATAATATATAAATATTTATATACAAGTATTTGTAATTTGAATTTTATAAACGCGAAATATCGAAGTAATATTAACTTAAAAAATAGTTATTACACAAGTATCTCATAATTTCATTGTTTTGTCTATAATAATTATAAAATATTTATGAAATGTTTATGCAATCTCTCAGCATTAAATCTAAACTAAAACTAGGATTTAAATTTCAGTATTAAGCTTAACCTCGAGTTTAAAATTCTATTGTCGTTTTTCATCATTTTTAATGAAATAATATTATAGAAGAAAGAGAAGTATTTTATTATTCTTAATAATATGGTTATACCAGTCATTTGTTTAACTCATATATTCTTCTTTTAGCCATAAAATATTCAATTTGCAATTTTACTATATATTTATGACTGGAGTGTATGATATGAATATGTGGGTGTGATTAATAAACTATAATTTTTCACCTTGGCAAATGTTTGTAATATTGATTATAATATCAGGGATTCACAGACTTTTCATAACATAGTGTTAAAAACAAATTGTCCTTGAATTTTTAGCTTAATGCAATGTAAGTACCTTCGTAGCTAAACTAGCTTGCACAGCTATATTGGCTAATACAAAAATATATTTATTTATTAATACTAATTAACGATTGCTAATTAAAAACAAATTTCTCAAATATATACAAGTGTATATTAAGAGTATTGAAATAACCAATTGTGGTCACTGTCATTATATAGTGTATAGGTACTGTTAATGCTAAAAGCAAATTAATAATATCGTAATTTAAAAAATACGATTTTATTTCATACTATTGTAAATTAATCTATTTATATTGTGTAAAATTATTATAATATACAAGTATAAAATCGTAGGTAAATTTTAAGCCTATTATTTTTTATAAAAATCATGTTAATTTTTATAATTTTGAACAGTATAATACTGTTTGTTAGATAATTACTGTCATAATAATAATCAATGATATATATTTATTGTTGATATAAACTATAAAATAATACATTGTTTATGTTTTATATAAGTAATGCATATTCTTATCTATTGAGCAAAAATATCTGGAAGGATAGTTGATATGAATATTAAATGTATAAATCATTTTTACTTTTATAATTTTTTTTTTTATATTGGCATTCCTTAATCATTATAATAATTTTAAAATTAATAATTGAATGTTACATCGGAATTCTAATCTGTGAAAAACTTAATAAATTCATAAACTTTATTCGATTTCCAATATAATATTCCAATTAATTATAACATAAATTAATAGCATCAATGTGAAGAAGAGGCTGTTATATAATATTCTCGATTATTAAACGAGTTAACTCTGGTATATTTTATCAAACAACTATTAATAAGTATAGTCTTATTAATAATATACATATTCCGTGGAAACTTACTTTAGTATATTATATTTCTCATAAGAAAAATACAGATTTTTATTTTTTTAAATTATATGTCATATTACTATAAATGTTGAAAAGAAAGTCATGTTCAGGGCTTCATCCCTCCCTTGTTTTATCACCTCTGATCGTATGGTCTTATTCAAAAAATAGTTTTGAAATCAAAAAAATTGTTCAAACTAGATATTTTTCAATGTTCCGAAAAAGGGCATTTTTTAATTGTTCTTAAAATTCAAGTCTTTGGCTGTATACTTAATATTTAATAAACAAAAAACTTTAACAAGCATATAAAAATCGTTGATTCTACAATAAAATAATTTATGATGTATATTTATAAATATATAATAAGTTATTAAAATCACTTAATTTTTTTATTTTATTCTATGGATGTAAAAGATTTTTTTATTTATAGTTGCATATAATGTTATGCAATTAATATACATATTTCTGTTTTACTGATATTCTTATCAAATATCAAATGGTATAATTTTTAGTTTGGTTTTTGTAATTTTATTGTTTTATTATATATATATATTACTACATACTACTTTATTAATTTTTTAATAATTTAGCTGGAGATTATAAAGAATAATATTAAATGTTGTGTACATTAGTTTGTAAGAACTTGTAATGTTCCTACTTTATACTCGTATCTATCAATTATCAAAATCTATTTTTAGTTAATATGTTTGTTAGAAATCGGCTACGATTGTTTTTGGATTGAAATCAAGATTGAATGTTACACATTTACTAATCAAAACAAAAAATAAATATTCGTATGTACCTAATAGCTTGCTTGGTAGTAAAGAAAATATAAGTGGAATATAGTGCCCATTTTTCAAACCTTGTATCGTAAAAAGTTGATAAAAATAGAACAAAATTCAAATGTTCCATATTTTGTCACAACTACATAAAAATATTTGATTTTATAGAAAAAATATTATATTCAACATATTGTCGTTTATAAGCAATAAATTCCCATCCTTGTATCTATTCGTATCCAAATTATTTAAGGCTTTGTGCACTTCGGTTACATTTTTCGGTAATGGTGGTAACGTTTTTCTACGAGTACGGTAACGCTCGTTCTATAAAATGCACATCGTTTAATGTCAAATCTAACGCACTTGGTTACTCTTCATTTCGAATTAATTTTAGTCGTCGTGTTGTAACTTGGTCTGTTGCTTTTCTTTTTAACGAATTAGCAACAGTTTGTCTATTAATATTTACACTTGCTTCGTGGTTATGATCAAAGTTAGATTTTAAAAGCACTGTTTCACTTACATCACATAAAAATTCGAAGTACACGATTTAATTGTCATCTCCATTTTATTCCATTTTTTGAGATAGTACATTTTCGAAATTAACTCATCAAGAACTAATAACGGCTTACCTTTTTTACTAAGAACTTTTGTAAAACGATCCATACTGTAACGTCAAACAACTCAAACTAATACTAAACGACTAACAAGACATAAGTATTGGGTTAGAGTTAGGCTGATAAAATATATCCGATAATAATGAAAACATGTTTTCATCCATCATTCAAATGCATACCTACTTCCGTGATCAAAATATGTGCTTAATAATAATAATTAAGGCTCGGAAGTAATTGCATTTGTATGTTTTTTTTTTTTTTGCACCATTGGATTTATTGCTAAGTGAGCTAGAATTTCAATCCAAGATACTTCGAAAGACATATCAAAAATTCATAGTGCATATTTATGCATATTTAGTGATTTTTAGATATTAGAGTATATTTCTTGATTTTACAATTTTTTAGAGCATATTTTATAATTTTTTAAGATTCAGTATAAAAATTCAAAAAATAAAAAAATATACATTCATATTGAGAGAATTTTCTTGATATTTTTGTATCGTATTTTTTCAAATTTCCATTTAACTTATAAACAATGTTTTTCCCTATCGATTAAATAATATATATATATATATTTATAAATTATAACTACCGCTAGCTTTGCCTAAAATAAAATTTAATACAAATATCAAATAGGAACAGCTGCTATCAAAATACGATGATTTTCTATAAATACTTTTCTAGGAAAATAACTCAATAATTATTGAACATTCTTCCAGGGGATTTTTTTTATTCAAGAAACATTTTTAATGCTAATTTATTATTATTATTAGTTTTTTTTTTTAAATTATTTATTTATTTATTTAAATATTTAACATCCCAAAGTGGTAATGAGTATAGTTTTTAAATTAACAAAAAGTATACAAACAATTTTGAATGATATCATATTAATACATGTTTAAAAGAAAAATATAAGTGGATATTATCTAAAATTCAAGTAAATTATTTAATATTCGTTATTAGATTTTTTAAATTAAGTTGAGAATCAAAAAAGAAACCGAAGTTAGGTACATTATTACATAATTCTAAAAGGCGGTACTCCGGACTATTTTTAATAATATTTGTCGAACAATGAGGTACAAAAAAAAGGATGATTGTTTCTTGAATTGAAGGATGGAATTTTAAAATTTATTTTACTTAGGAATTCTGATGATGAAAGTTTACCATTTATTAACTTATAGACAAAGTTTACATCATTAAATAATCTTCTAGAAGCTATTGTTCTAAGCCTAATTCTAAAGCTATGGTATCTAGAGAAACATCCACTCGATTTAGTTTGTGTGGCATTATCCTCAAAAAACGGCGTTGGATTTTATCAAGTTTATCAATAAGATTAATTTGTTTAGGATTCCAAATGACTGATGCATATTATAATATTGATCTGACGAGTGAGCAGTACCTATAGTACTTTTAGATTAAAGTTTTTAAATTCGTGACAATTTCGGTTTATAAAACCAATAGCCCGTATTAATATCAGATCAGAAGACAACAGAACACCTAAGTCACGTACTATAGATGTATTTTGTACTTCAAAGTTATTTATTTTGTATGTGGCTAAGGATTTATTTTTCTGACGATTAAATAAAATATAATTAAATTTAGAGGGGTCAACTGAAAGTCCGTTTAAATTGTATAATTTCAAAAATGAATCTAGATCTTGTTGTAACTGGTTTGAACCGATATTAGACTTTACTGGCAGATTTATTTTCAGGTTATCGGTGAATAGTAGATATTTACAAAATTTAAAGGAAGAACCTACATCGTTTATAAATATAATGAATAAAAGAGGGGATAGGTGACTACCTAGAGGTACATCAGATGTTACAGTAGTATTTGAGGATAAATGGCAATTTATATTAGCACAAAATGATCTATTAGATAAATATGATGAGAGACATGATAGTAAAGGGTAACCTATACCAAGTTTATTTAGTTTCAACACCAATATATTATGATCAACCGAATTAAAAGCCTTTTTTAGATCAGTGTAAATTGCGTTAACACGGCCACTTGATTTAACAATATCAATTAAAAAAGAATAGTAAGTTATTAAATTAGTTTCCACTGATTTTGATTTTCGAAAACCCTATTGCTCATAAACTAAAGCAGTGGTCTTCAATCTTTTTCGACCTGCGACCCACTTTTCTTACTAAACATTTTTCGCGACCCATGTTAGCCACGAAAACCAAATAAAAATTTCTTCACTGGAAGGTATACTTAATAAAACTTATGGAATACAAATTAACTACCTATGCAAAAAAATGTATTTGTCAAAAATGAATTCTTTATTAAATGCATAATTGCAATTTCTTATGTAAGTATCTTACTGATAAAATAGCAAATTCTTTAAAAATTTAAATATTTTAAAATGTATAGAATCAGTAAATTTAGAGAAAAAATATTAAAATATGATTATAGATTGAATTTTTATTACTCCATACCTAAATATTTTTTTATAGATGTTAAATTTTAAATCAAATTAAAAAATTTGTAGTTTAATAGTTAGTCATTAAGTTAATAAATTAATAGTTAATAATAACTTAATAATTAACTAACTATTAAACTAAAAATGTTTTAACTAACCGGCTTAACATAGAATAGGTCTATTAAATATATAAATAAAACATCTAATATATAATAATTCTTTGTAGAAGAATTGCAATAATATGTTATCTATATTAATAGTAGGTATTAATAGTTATTGTGTTGCTGCTTAGTGTGGTCGTGAGCGTAATATGATCAAAACTATTGGAAGAACTATAGTATATATGTTTTTAAGTAATGAAAGATATTACAATTTTTTGAAAACCATCTATCATTGGGTTCAAGCCAAAGCTTCCTTTTTCTTCTAATTATGCTTATGATCACAGTTAAATTAATTTATAAACTAAAGTATTTTTTTTTCTAATTTTATAGTTGGATTCTCAGTGTTAATGTTTTACATATATGGTTCACCGTATGAAAGAGGATTCTTCTGTGGTGATGAATCTATTCGATATCCATTTAAAGAATCAACAGTTTCATCTTTTATTTTACACTTAATTGGATTAGGATTACCAACATTAGTAGTAAGTGATATATTATGAATATAAGCCTAAAGACATTTCATCCATCAATTAATAATTTCAAAATAAATATAAAGGCGTAGCTAGAAATTTCATCAGAGAGAGGGGGCAAATAATCATTAAAACATGTTTAGTATACCTATTTTTAAATTTTTACACGTGTAAAATTGTTATCTTATTTTATGATTTTTAACTATAATTTATGAAGTAAATAAAAAATCAAAAAAAAAAATAAAAATATCAAGACATAATAAAAATATCCATGTAAAATGGTATTATTATAAAAAAATTAAAAACTGTGTCTTTAAGGAGGAAATGATTTTAATACTTAGGATACAATTTGTAAAAAATATATTGAAAAAAATAAAAATTTGAAAATTATAAGCAGTTTCAACATTGGGTCATATATTGATAAATTTAAAATTCCGTTGGAAATTAAGATATTTATTAACTATATTTAGGGAGGATCATCTATCCCCTTAGCTACGCCATAGCGTCTATCAGTATTTTTCTGCTGATGTATTTCGACAAATTTATATACTATAAATTTTCTCCAGATGTTGCAAATATTATAATTATTTACTTTATAAAATTTTAATTACGATATTATAAAATGAATGTATTCGCAATTCCTATACAGTGAAACCTCGGTATCTCGAAGTCGTAAGGGACCAAAAAAAAAATTCGACATATCGAAACTTCGAGTTAGAGAGGAAATTTAAAACATAAATAAAATTTGAAATAAAAATGTTTAATTATTGGGAAAAATGTGTATTTGTAGTATAGAATGTATTTATACATTGAATACATATTATGTATTAGTATTCGTCATTTGGATAAGTATACATTATTTTCTATGAAAATAGAAATTCTGACATTTTTGTTTGTTTTTGTTTAGTATTATAAGTATTTTTAATAAAACTACCTAAAATATTAAGTGCAGAAAAAATATTGTCAGAAACTCCTGATTGTTGTTGAACGTATCTTCGAAGTTCATGTTATATATATAGTTTTCAGCTTGGGCACCACGTATGAAAGGTTTAACAACAGCAATTTTTTCCTCGTCGATTGCTTCATCGGCAGAATCTGTCTCTGGCTCACTGAGAAAATCAGATGTTTTAAAAATTTCCGCATCGGTTAAACTTTCTGATGTGCTCAAAGTAGAATCAATATCCAAAAATTATTACATACAACGTTGTGTGTATAAGCTTTGTCATTTAATCTTATATTTAATAGTCTGGGCATTTTATACGTTATCTAATCTGTTATATATTCGAGTTAGTGAATCATAATAGGTGGTAGGTACCGGATAATGACTTCGACTTATAGAAATATTCGGCATATGGAAATTCGATATAAAGAAATAACTGAGTACGTAAGTCCAATGCTGAATGATCAGGACTGAAAAAAAAAATTCGACCTACAGAAACTTCGAGATACCGAAGTTCGAGATACCGAGGTTTCACTGTATAATTAAATTAAATTAAATTCCTATATTGCATTCATCTTAAATGCATATTAAATAAATGGGCGTGGACATCACTTCGAAAACATAATTGTATATAAAAAAATAAACAAATAGTTTATACATAGAAATAAATAAATAAAAGCTTAGCTTGGAGTATTATTATTTTTATAAAGTACAACTGGTATCGAATTAAAAATTCATCGTCAAGTGTATTCAAAATAAAATAAATCACGATTGTATTAACTTAGAATATACCTGACGATGATTTTTTAATTCGATACCGGTAGTACTTTACGAATATAACAATACCTACTCTAGGCTAAGCTTATATTTATTTATTTTTATGTATAAACTATTTGTTTATTTATTTTTATATTAATTTACGAGTATTAACCATTTAATAATTTTTAATTTTAATTTAATATTTTATTATTTTATTATAACTAAATTGTGTTTGTAACTGTCATGAAATATAAAGTAATTGCATAAAAAATATTCTAGGGAAATGACCTGTAGGTACATTTATCTTGCAGAACTTGTTTTTTTTTTTATAAAAATCTGGACATGTTTAAAAACCATTAACATTAATCATCTGTTTTTAATATTAACTGTAACATTTTTGTAGATTATATTCATTGAATTTTCTATGCGTAATAATGAACAATCACGTTATTCGATTTTGGGAACCAACATTCCAAATTGGTTGTACTCCGTGTACAATAATTTACTATGGTTTTTATTTGGAGCTGCTTGTTCACAATTGACTACCGATATTGGAAAATATACTATAGGAAGATTAAGACCCCATTTCTTAGATATTTGTAAGCCCGATGTGGACTGCAATGCAGACATAAACAAAACCAAGTACATTGAGAATTTCAAATGCACCGGAGAAATGTCGAAAAAGTTTAAAGATAGTAGATTGTCGTTTCCTTCTGGACATTCTTCGTTGTCATTCTATTGTATGGTTTATTTAGCGGTAAATATGTTTTTTTAATCTAAAATATTAAAAGTATTTTATAAATATTACTTATGTATTGTTACAGTTGTACTTGCAAGCCCGTATTAAAACATCAAAGTATGGGATACCAAAAAGTTTTTTTCAATTTTTAGTTATCGTAATGGCAGCGTATTGTGCACTATCACGAATCAGTGATTATAAACACCACTGGAGTGATGTATTGGCTGGAACATTATTGGGAATTACCGTTGCTACTCTAACTGTAAGCCAAATGATAAATTGTATAAGTAAAAAAAAAAATTTTAGACGGGTAAAATGTAAAGATTAAATGTGATAAATGATAACACTTAGTTCAAATCAATCTTATTAAACCACGTTAAGTTTTTTGTAAAACTATATTTTATTCGAAAATAAAAAATTAAATTTCCGTCCTACAATTTGATGCTCTCTTTTGACTCAATTTATTTAGTTTATGTACCTACTTATTAGATTTTTTTTAATGTGTATATATTTTTGAAGTATCTGATGTATCTGATAATTACAATAAATATTTTACAATATTATGATTTCTTTCTTTTTTTGTTTCATAAGTTTGTATGTACGATATATTAGTATATACTAAATATAAACATGTATTGTAAATAAATATTTTTTGGCATTTAAATGTAACTGAGAGATTTCTCTACTGGTTTAATTTTTCAGTTGAGATACAGACATAAATATAAAATTATCAATAAAACTTTTGAAATAATAACTTACAAATTTAAAAGAACTTAAATATTTTTTAACTTAAAATCTTATAAAAAAAAAATTGTAATGTTTCAAGAGTTATGCATAATGTATATGTATTTAAATTTTAAAAATGTTAATTTGATTTAATTTGGAAGTACTGGTGTTAAAGATGTTTATAGTTTTATAAATATGAAATTGTATTCAATGTTTACACTTAATAATACTAGTAATTATATTAAAATAAAATTATTTAAGATTTACTAAAATTGATGACAATATTAGTAAAACTTATCTTGGATTTGATGATAATAATTTCCATGTATAATAAAATAAATATGTATATAAATATTAATATATTTCTAGCAATCATAGCCTATACTTTTTATGTTCTAAATGTTAATTTTTGTATACCTACTTATACAATATTTATAACGTTTCTACATAAAATCTTAGATGAAGAAGGTACCAATTTAATTTTTTTTTCTTTTTAATAAAAAATAAAGGCATATTAAAAGACACATATATTTCAACATTTTTTTAAAAATTAAATTTTTTTATTCAGAATATGTAAAAATTTAAAAATTTCTTATTTACAAAGTAGTATCTGTCATAAATTAGGTCTTGTGTTACATTATAGTATAAAATATTACATTTATTAATGTATTAAACATTTTTAAATTTAACACAATTACACCAAAGTAAAATATAATATCGCTATAAATTGTACTAAATAAGTTACAGAATTTTTATGAAGTTACAAAATACTTACATGAATTAAGAAAAATGAATGTCAATATTTAGTTGACAGATATAAATTTATCTTGTTTTTACTCAATAACTCAATTATTAAATTAATACCTAGTTATTAGACTAAACAATTATAACAATATAATGTCAATTTTGTGACATACAATTTTCATTTTATTGTGTCATTATATATTGTATTTATTTAAATTAGGGTGTTTTGTTGATTTTTTTTTACTTTTCTACTGCTATTAATCAGTATATAATCACAAAATAGAAATTCAAATATCACAAGACATTTTTACATATGTACTTTTATGTTTACTTGGTATGTACCTATATCAGACTTAAACTTAATGTTTTAGGCATTATATGTAACGGATTTATTTGCTGCAAAGTATAAATCTCTTCGAAAACGTAATTCTTCAACTGGAGACATTGAAACTACAAATAATTTACAAACAACTGAACTCAAATGAATAAATATATATATATATATATATAGGTATATATTAATGATGTTTCCCGATTGCAGCTAAATTATATTTGTTTTTCTTACATTAATACGTCCATACTATATAAGAAATTGATGTTTGGACAAATTTGAAAAGTAACATAGAAAATGTATACTTTTTAAAATTAAACAATTTTGTGTTAATATATCTTTATACAGTATTCATTAATTAGAACAATAATTTATATAATTAATATATTAACTAATTAAATATTTGATAAATATTACATTCTGAATTAATTGTCACAACTATTAATGTATTTTTTATGAAATATTAATTTTTAACATAAATGTACTTGTGAAATTTATTCAGTTATGGTAAGTGCTATTTTTTGATAAACTATAGTACTTATTACACATTTTATACACTTATATACACATAACTTATATGGTTTTGGGTATTTGTTTTTTTACTGATAAAGTATTTTTGTTAAGTATCTAAATAATAACAGTACAATTTATTAGTCTAAGTGAATATATTATACTATAAAGATTTATGTAGCTCAAGCAGCACACTATATAATGTTCCTTCCATAAATATGTACAATTTTTTTACTTTGTATATGTTAATAATTTCACTAAAGTAAGTTAATTTTTATGCTGATTGTATTAAACTATTTTATTTATACTTTTATGTTTTGTTTTTTAACACATTGCATATTGTTAAATAATGTTATTTTTTTATATCTACCAAGTAGTGTCTATTTAATTTTTCTAACTATATAGATATATATGATTATCTAATACATTTTTTTAACTCAATTAGTTTATTGTTTAAATATTGTTTCTGTATTTTTATATTTTCCATTAAATCAATTAAATCATCAGTCTAATCAAATATTTGAAAAATGCTTTTTTTTTTTTTATCAACATTTATATTCTAGTAAATTGTACATTTTGTACAATATGTCATATCTATATCTATAATCAACCCTTTAATTATTTACATAATTTATTATGTCTAAAGAATATTATAATATAATGGTCCTTGGAAGCAAAATAATTTGAATTGAACCCTATATAACAGCAGTCACCAAATGGTAGCTTGCAGACAATAATAAAAGTAAAAATCTATAATATAATACATTAGTTTTTTATTGGCAGAAGCAGATATTCTACTTGTTGCCAAACATATCTTAAAGTTTGAATGGATGACAATCTATGGAATGTGTTGATTACATGTCAAAAAGTTGTCAATTACCACCAGCCCACATTAACTTAATATCTATTGTATTATATAATTACTTGCTTCGTTTTAATTTATGTTCGTGTTTCTTTTTTGTTTTTATATGATTATGGACAAGAAAACAAGAATAGATGAATTTGAAAACACATCGTTTTTGCCTGAGTAGACAGAATTATATTGTTTTATTTACCAGACCAGTTCAGGGGTCTTGTCAGTTTGATTTATCATCAAATGTAACTGTTTTTTAATGATTTATAATAGCAAATGACTACAAAATAATAATAACCTTACTAGTTATATAAATGCATCTAAGTAAAAAATTATATTACAATTATAATTTTGTTTCTATGATACCTACAATTAAAGTAGGCATTAAGTAGCTCATACAATATAAATTACATTTAAACTGAAAGCAAACAAAAAACATTTAACAATAAACTACCACAAGGCTCAATGCTAACACCATCGTTATTTAACTTATACACTTATACCATCTATAGACTCCGGTAAATACGGTCACGCTAATGATATAGTTTTGGTAACACAAGCAAAACCATTTAACTTAAATGAGACAACTCAATAAAGACCTATAATCCCTAAACCACTATTTCAAACACTGTAGATTAAAACCAAATCCAATGAAAACAGAGGTAACTCTATTTTACCTTGGGAATAAAATAGCTTATTACAAAATAAATGTATTTTTTGATGGACAGGTGATTAAAACATCCGATACCCCAAATATCTTGGGGTAACCTTGGATAGAACCCTTACCTACAAAGAACACCTGATAAAGATTGCTGCAAAATTGAAAACTAGGAAGAATATCATCCAAAAACTAGCAAACTCAAAATGAGGAGCGGATACCAATACCCTTAAAATATTAACAGTAGCACTTATACAATCGGTAGCTGACTATTTCTCATCAGTATGACTACAAAGTGCCCACACAAATAAAATCGAAACTCAACTCAACTCTGCTATGAAAAATATCACTTGAGCGGTTAAATTTACCTCCATAGCTTGGCTGCCTGTACTTAGTAACTTAAGTCCATTTCATCTACATCGATACAACTCACTAATACAAGAGTGGACATAATGCTTTTCGAATATACTGCTCCCAATACATAATGGTATAACACTGGGCCTAACATATGACTAAAATCTAAGTCTAGGAAATCTACCAGGAGGCTTATCCAAAAATTAATATCAGAAAAATTTGATATAAACATGCAGGGACGTATTACCGTTAAGGCTAAAGCATAGGGCGGTAAATTTTAACGGTCAAATGGAAATAAATTTTTTGGCTGTATATAAACTGTACCAAAATTACACCTTTTCTAAAAATTGATATGTAAACTGCGCAAAAAAAAAATTAACATCATGTAACCTACGACAAAACCGATGAGATACATTATATAAACTACAACAAATCTATATATATATATAAAAATTGAGCCAAAAATGTATAAAATTTCATTAATTGAGAACGGTTGGGCCGATTTGGCTCAATTTTTTTAATTGTTTGTAATTGACAGGAGAAAGTTTTTAAGAAAATTTTTTTTGGAAAAGTGCTATTGTTTAATAAATCGTAGTTTAATTCAATAATTTTTGACCCGATCGATAACTGCGCAATTATAAATGAATTATTAAATGAAATTATTAAAAACTATTATTTTATTTTTGGTATTAAATGACGGGTATTGCATAAATATTAAACAACAAGATCCTGTAACAGATGCTAAAACAAACAAGAATATTAGTTCGAAGGATTATTATACATAACGGTTGATAAGACGCGATCAGAACAAAGTTATTCTACGATATCGTGAGCTTTGTCAACAATTCATGGTCGACATGTATGTAAAGATAGAAAGCGAACGATTTTGATACTATAATCGCTATAGCGATTCAATCAAAAAAAGCTCCGTGCAGAAGAATCTCAAAACAATTGTTAGATCTCAGTGATGGGAAAGTTACTATAGATGAAACGGGATGCATACAATTACCGACCAATTTTTGCACAATCATTGATTCGCAAGATGTTCTCATTGACCAGATATTTCCCAATGTACACAGAAAAAATACAAATCATGAGTGACTAGCAGGAAGAGCAATTTTAGCAGCAAAAAATTTGGACGTCAACGAATTGAATCTCAAGATACAAAATTTGTTACCAAGAGACTTTGTGTCATACAAATCTATAAATACAGTTTGCGATGCTACTGAAGCTGTAAATTATCCAATAGAGTTTTTAAACTCATTGGATTTACCAGGCAAGCCACCGCATAATTTATAACTGAAGGTTGGATCTCCGGTTATTTTGCTTCGTAATTTGAACCCATCACGGTTGTGCAACGGCACGCGATTAGTCATTAAGAAATTAATGAAAAAAATGTTATCGAAGCCATCATTTTAAATGGCAAATTCCGAGGTAAAAATATATTATACCCACAGATGTGCCAATAAAATTTAAACGCCTTCAATTTCCAATTAGATTGAAATTTGCAATGGCTATCAATAAGTCTCAAGTTCAAACGATGTCTGTCTGTGGCTTAGATTTGAGTACATCATGTTTTTCACACGGACAATTATAGGTGGCGTGCTCTCGAATCATTCAATTTGTTTGTGTTGGCGAAAGATGGGATAACAAAAAATTTGTACACTCCGTTGCATTAAGGGTTGCATATTGTTGCATATTGTTTTTTACTAATATTGTCATAATTAGGGATATATATAAATTTTTTTTTTTTTTTTTAATTTGCCTTTGTTCGCACATTACAGCAAGTATATAATTTTAAAGGATGAATTTTAATAAATTATTAAAAAAATAAATGTTTGATGTTTTTTTATTTTTATATTCCGCCACCGTTCACAGCACTGCATACCTCTTCCACTTATATACCACATCCTTACACACTTATATTAAATTAGTTATTTTATATATATATATACATACTTTATGTATACCGATACGACAAAATAAATAGGTATTTATATGCATCATACATGCATATACCTGTAATATTATGTACATATATCATTTAATTAATATGTTATGTTGGAGACAAATTTGTAAGAAAAATCAAATTTTATTTTTAAGTTTTAACGCAATATACTAAATATCGGCTCCTTCACAAGTACAAGATTATCATAAGTTAGGTTAGTACGTGCTGTGTCATGTAATATTGTATTAAAAATGAAAGTATAAATATATATTTGTAAAATGAAAAACAGATACCATAATACGAGTATAAAGAATAGAACCACAACACACTTTTTCATTTAAAAACACACACTTAACATTTTGTATTACACAAAGTGTGTCGTACTGCACACAATTTCTCCCTGCCGAATGGGCCATGGAAGGGCAGGATAAATGTTCCACAAATGGGAACTGAGGACTTCACTAGAATGTAATTACAAAAAAAACGAAAAGCAAACTGCTATACATCACTGATGAATGTAATATTCAAGGAGGAATGAAAGAACTACACAAAGCCACAACAGATGCAGTACAATGGCTGAATTTCCTAGACATACAAATTTAATAGAAGACCTATGCAAATTACACACTCATTACTAGTCAATATATTACCTATATAATCTATTATCATTTAGTTATCTTTTATTTATTTATTTATTTTACTACTTATACCTATATTATATTATATTACTTATGTTAAACCATGAATGTTATATCCAAGCTATACAAAATAATAATAATATTTAAACTTACTCGTATAGTATAATCTATAAACTCACAACTTTTTGATTAAGCTATAAAAGGCAATATAGCAATATTTAATATATAGCACTATATTAACTATTAATTGTCTATGTTGCATTTTAAAATTAATCATAATCTTTCAATTGACACATTTCATAAATACCAACAGAAAAAGAAGGGATAAATATTTCAATTAAATTTAATAAAAAATAATGGGGCCATGTTAATAACATATAATACAAAGGGTTCTGTAATTATTCAGCAGTTTGTTTTTCGGTCGGTATTTAACAATAAGTATCATTTTAGAGAAATAATAAATAAATGTTTGTAGATATATTTATATACACAACTACATAATGGATTTATACAAAGATATAGTTTTGGAAACAGTATCAGTTTTGTTTAGTAAGATCAAATTACAAGTTTTAATTTTTAATTCAAATAAACAAACCACCTAATAATTTGATTGTTCATTTTTGATAATAGTTGGTCTATTGGTCATGGTAACATCATTTATAGAACCAATTCCTCAAGGTTTTTTTTGTGATGACAATACAATAAAATATCCATACAAGCCATCAACAGTAGGCAAAAGTTTCTTATGTCTGTTTTATCTTCTTCTACCTAATGTTTTGGTAAATATTTTATTATTAATTATAGCAATATTGTATTAAAAATATAATTTTTATTTAATTTAAAAAAAATATTACATTTAAAAGTTTTTAATGATTAATTTGATTTTGAACAGAGTATTTTTTTTTTTTATTGAAATTATTGAATTTTTAAATATATGTTTAATTTTTAAACTTTTATTTTTCATCCAAGGATAATAATTTTATAAATTAATTTGACTAATCATATTTTAACTATTCTAAGAATACAAAATATTTTTTTTTTTTACCACATAAAATAAGTAAATAATAAAAGTTTATTTTATTTATATACCATATATTATATTTTGACACGGGTTTCATTTTCAGTTTTAGTTAATTTTTTGGAATAATTCACCATCTAAATATTTATAAAAACTTTAGACTTTAAATTATAAATTAAACAGTTAGTAACTTTAAAATTTTAATTTTAGATATGCTTGAAATATTACACAACTAGGAGCAAAAATATAAAAAACTTATATGTAAATATAATTTATTTTTGGTTGGGTTCTGGATTAGCCCAAATAACAGTCAATTTAGGAAAATGTTATGTTGGACGTTTAAGGCCTCATTTTATTCATGCGTGTAAACCAAATATTGATTGTATATCACAAGATGAATATATTACCGATTACATGTGCATGAATCCAGAAATATCCATAGCTAATGATTCAAGGTATTTACTATAACAGTGTAACAGTTTAATAAATAAATAACTAAACAATATTTAAAAATTAAATTTATAGTATTTAATATAATATAGTAATATTTTATATTAAAATTTCATCATTTCAGAGCATCATTTCCATCAGGTCATGCATGTTTAGCATTTTATTCAACGGTATACACAATTGTAAGTATACATTTTGGGCATATAAATTATAATAATAAAATAATCAAATATTAATAAAATAAAAATATATTATTTACTTATGTTTCAAAGTTGCACCTACACGATTATAAGAAAAGTGTAGCATGGGTTATCATTCAATTTTCAACATTTATACCAGCATGGTATACAGCATTAACTAGAATTACTGATAATATGCATCATTACACTGATGTATTAGCTGGTTCAATTATTGGAACATCATTTGCTATTTTAATGGTAAATAAAATAATATATATTAAATTATAACAGTAATTACAGAATATTTTATAAATAAAAGATTTATCTTACACAGATATATGAAGTGAAGATACGGACATCTCTAGAAAATATTAGTCCAAATAGTTAATATCAAAATAATTAGATACGCATAATATTTTTTCCTTAATTTTATGTTTTAGCACCAATTTTAATGATCAAATGTATTTTGTAATCTGTCATTATCAAGTTGAGCAAGTTGTTTAAGAAATCCATCATTGGGTCGTATATCTCTTGCTTTTTTAACTTTTTCTAGAGCTTCTTTAGCCCTAAATTTTTTTTTAATCATTAAATATGCAATTGCAATTGTTGCTGATCTTGAAATGCCCATTATACAATGAATTAAAACGGTACCTATAAATATAAAGCACAATAATAATTTATTAAAAATTCTATCACACATTAACTAACATTATTTTAGTGAAAAAACTTAACTGACCTTTTTGTAACAATGCATCATCTATAAAATTTGATACACTTTCAAAATATTCATTTATCGCAACATTGGAATCATCACATACAGCTAAGCCCATGTATCGAATATTAACTGGATGGTAAAAGTGTTCATTTGTATCAACCATGCCAAAACCAACACCTTGAGCAGCATTTACTACATGTGTGATACCCAATGATAACAATAAATTAAGATTTTTTGCAGTGTTCCTACAAAAAGAAAAAAATCTATTTAAAAATAAGTTTTTAAAATGCACTGAATCAATATTTAAACTTACCAATCTCCAACATATATCTTTGGGTAAACTTCATTATAATCACCTTTTGTGGTATTGAACTTTTTAATTGGAGATTGAGTACGTAAAAGAACAGCTTGTAGATCTTCAAGAGTAACTTCTTTTTTTGGTTCTTTTTTAAGAAACTTTGACAACAAATATTCCATTTTTGATTAAGTATTTGACTGTAACTTCATAAAAAATACATATCTGCAAAGAAAAATTACTGTTATATCAACAAACAGAAAATTATTAATATATTTTTTGATAGCATTACAACATGTGATCTACTGTTAGATTCAGTATGTTATCTTAATTACTTAATTATAATATTGCTTACTACTTGAACTATATTGATAATTGCTGGTAGTATTTAGATACAAATTTCAGTACTTCAGTATATATGTTAATACTAATATGATTCAATAATATATAAGTACAATTTTGGTGCACATAAACATGATAATATTAAATAAAAAAAAACTTATAAAATTTCAGTTAATGAATAAATTACTATATTATATTATAGCAATATATTATAGCATATTATAATATAACACATTTAATGATAACCAAATCTGGGTTTATACAAGATATGTATGTATTAAATAATGATTATGTACAACTAATATACACTATTTAGTAATGATACCTCAACTAAATGCATTTGTTAAATATTATAATATTTACTAATATTTAAATTTCTAGAGAGTATTTTAATTCATTTTTTATTATTATTAATAAAAACTGGATGTTTATGAAATTACATTAAAGATGTTTATGAACGAACAAATCTTATTGCACTTGTGAACGAATCTATCATGATGATAAAAATATAAAGTCGTTCAATTCGTTCATTCTCTTGATTTCATGTAAATGAATCGACCAGAAATCCAGATTGTGAATAAAAAAGTCCTTCATTTGTTCAGTTTTATTTTGGTTAGGTTAAGTAAGGTTACATGTGGACAGTTGTTAAAGACTAGTTAACATTCCAAAAAATGTCTATAAATTGTAATACGGTTATGTCTTAATTATTCAATAACTCTAATATCAAAATAAAATTAATTCAGTTCATTAGAGTACACAATATTTTACGGAATAAATGAAAATGATTAATCTTATGGGTCTTTGTTTTATTCAGATTTATGCAATAATAATTATGTTTTAGTTCGTTCATCTTTCAATGAAAAAAAATAAACGAATCATATGAATGGGTATTACGAATGACTCGATCCAAATGAACCGAATCATTCAAATTACCCATTTGCCCATCTCTAAATTGCATATTTTTCTATTGATCCAATTTAATGTGGACCTGGTTACAAATTTGATTCATGTTCTACTGCATGGGTTCTCAACCTTTTGAGGTCCGCGTCCCTTTTAAAACTATTTTATGAGTTCACGCCCCACCTCCTCACTACTATAAGATTGATATATATGCATAATATTTATAAGTAAACTATACTTTAACACAAGGGCTGGAACCGAACACAAGAACACTTAAAATAGAGAACCAGAACCATCATTATAAAATGAAAAATATCGGATAACAAACATTATTAATTATGTTTTTATTCTTAAGATTTCAAAGCGTAAATCAATTTTTAAGATTTAGATTTAGATTTTTTAAGTTTTTTAAAAATTTTATTTATAATCTTAATTTTTAATATTATGAGCTGATAGACGGACGACTAAAGGTTAAACAGGTTAATACTCCAATTTCACCAATACGAAGGTTATCTCAGTGGTGAATTGGGCAACATATCGTATTATGTATAGTTAAAATTTAATTTAATTTATACATATTACTGTTCTTTGACATATACAAACTCTGTTTTTGGCAAAATAAATAATTATTATTTATTATTATAGTTACAAATTTGAGAGATTTATTTTCATACAAGTATATTATGCCATATTGCATAGTATAATACCAGTAACATATACAGTAGACGCTGCTTATAAGACTCACGGATATAAGGTTCAGTCCCTTAAGGGACTCAAAATCGTCTGGAATAGTCCAGACGTATCTAAAGACAATAAAAAAAAAAAACCGGTTATAAAACTCAAATTTCGTAAAATAAATAGTAGAAAATAAACTTTTTTGATTATAATTTAGAAATAAATTGATATTGAAAAATTAAATAATATTCCTGTTGATTATTTCTAGTTTTTGTTGGTACCTTATAACGCATAATAATTTTTATCGCAGATTAAAGTTCACATTAATCGCAACGATTATCGTTATTATATAGTGAGGTATCTGATTATCTGGATGGGTGCAGTTATCGTAATTGTGGGTACTTACGCAGTTACATTGCAGTTAACGGTATATTTTATTAATGTATAATTTTTATAATATGTATTTTTATACTTAACATTTACCTATTATAATTTTAGTTTTTTTTTTTTTTTTTTGTCAGGATTAATAAATTTATTCGATAATAAGTATGTAATATGTAATATGTGTTAAAGTATTAAAATTAAAGCAAAATATGTAGTAAAATAAAATTTATAAATACGTAATTTTTTTTTTTCCCGCTTCGCCTATAAGATTCATTCGGTTATAAGACTCACTTTGGGCTGGTCCCAAAGTGAGTCTTATAAGCGGCGTCTACTGTATATAATTTTTAAGTATGTATCAAAATTACTAGAAAATAAATTTAAAAAAATTTTAGAACCCTATAATACCGGAACTCGAACCTAAACCCTTATTTTGCATTTCTCAATAACCGGAACCTGAACCTAGAATTTTAATAAAATAATTAAGAACCAGAACAATAAAAACTTAAAAGTACCAGTCCCTGCTTTAATATTGGTTATTGGATTAATCAACTTCGATGAAGTTTCTTTTAATATTAAATTAACTTATTTACATTAAAAAAAAAATCGACCATAGCGGCGACTAACACAGTGCGACAAGACACGGCGAAGAAAAAGACAATATTTTCATTTTTCGTGTTTTTTTTCAACATTTTCACGCCCCCCCCCCCCCCCCTTAAATTTGGAATGCCACCCTAGGAGGAGGCGCACGTTCCAGACTGAGAACCACTGTTCTGCTGAATCAAATAATATTATTTTTATTTTGAAAATTTAATTGTTTTACATTTTAAATACACATTTTTGGGATTTCAAAAATATTTAGTAAATTATATATTTAGCACATATTTTAGTACATTTTTGAACTTCTTTAAAAATAATTTAAATTATGGAGTACATAAATGATAAATTAAAAACTCATATAATTTAGTTTATCTTAAATACTTTTAGATCCAAGGTTGATCAAATTAAAATAACCATTGTATCACAGTGTAACATTAATATTATAAATTGGTATATATTATTAAACAAATATAAAATGTAAAAATGATTATTATTTTAATTATTACTAATGATAAAATAAATTTTATTCTGCATATTTGGTAACTTTTAGTGCTAAATCCATGCTAAAGTCATTTAAAGTACATGATCATCAGTCCTATTAATTACATTAGACAATTAAGAAAATATTTAATATTCATAATAGATAAAAATTATTAATCATATTTTCCTATATCTTATATTAATTCAAATTTCTTAAATTTTAGATAAATTACATTAAGCAATACATTTTTATATTTTTGAGATTATCTTAAATAAGTTATAACTAGAAGCTAAAAAAAATAAAACTTTCAAATAAAATATTAAGTTATTTATTAAATATTACTCAGAGAGTGACAATATTTTTGGTATATTTTTAATATATTTATATTATAGATACATATAAAAATTTAAATAAAATTATAATTTGAATTTTTTCTTTCTATTTTTAAATTTATTGTTGGAAAAAACTAATAATTGTATAAAATTAGAGTACACGAACTGGTGTGATTAATAAAAAAATGTAAAAATAATATATTCAAATATACAAAAAAACAATATTAATTACTAATAATAAGAATTCATCAAGTATATATTATAATAATGAAATTTTATGTGATTAATGTTATATTTTTAACAAAATTACCAACAGTTATATCGCTATAATTTAGGTACTAAATAAAATGTTAGATTACTAAAAGAAATTATTTTTTACATTTTTAATAAAGTATAAAAGCAATTCATCCATAAAATACAAACCTATATATTATCCATTGTAATTTGATTATGCAACTTCAATAACTACTTCGAAACTGTTTTAAATTCATTATAATTGATTCATTAATAAACACGAAGTTAACGTTTATTTAATAACACATTAAACTCTTCATAGGTTTTAAAAGAAAAATGTTGACAGTCAATAAGATATCTACAATAAAAATCTCATAAACTTGAATCCTTACCACTGATAAGAGATCGGTTTATACCGTTTATGTTAAGTTGCGTATACTACAATTTTTAAGGGGTATTTATAATAATAAGAAATGTACCCCTTATAATAATTTTACCGAGTTTTATCGGGATGGACGAATGCACGATAGCAATATTCTTATTCATATTGTAGTCCAAATTTACGCTAAAACCGTACGACCATCACCGCAACCTACTATATTATATTATTAAATATACATTATACATTATTATAGTACTATAAAGTTAGTATTTTATAATCTACATTCTATACTCCATATAAATAAGAAAAGTTAATGATTATGTTTTTATTTGTGACACAAATTTTCATTTTTAAAAACATATATTGAATATTTTCGATACGAATCGTTTTAAATAAAAACAGGGATGTAATTTAGGGGGGAGCAAGGGTATGCATTTTCCTAACCCTAGATTTTAAAGTGGCAATGGCTTCTGGCTTAAATGGGGCCATAAATCATATAAAGTATATGATGGTTGGAGTACTGGGGGGGGGGGGGGGGGGGGGGGGGGGGGTCGAAGGATAGTGTTTTACTCGATGGGCTGGTCATTATTATGCCCTACCCTAACAAATATTGAAATGACGTTCCCGAATAAACAAATTCAACATTTTTACGCCAATAGATAATTTTATCTCGCGTACCTCTAGGGATACGTGTACTCTAGGTTGGGAACCACTGCGTTAGTTACATGCGTTACATACGCTGGCTTACTCGAATGAAATTCTTATTCATGGCTATAGACAGTGTTGTCCATTATCTAGATAAAAACATTTATCTTCTTATCCATATTTTTAAATAAAATGGTTATCTGAGATAAATTATCTAGATAATTTTGAACAAGTTAATTTTTTTTGTGGCAAGTGAAACAAGGAATAAAAAAATACAGTAATACCGTATATACGTTTTAAATGTTAGATAAACATATTCTATAGACGAAGTAAATTATATAATAACATATATATAAATATATAATTATTTTTACAGAAAACATAATTTCAAATAATATTCAATTTTATAATGATATACCTTTTTTTTCTTCTGTATAGTCGACGACTAGATGATAAATTCCTTGCCCAATACTTTTTTTTTTCGTGTCAGGCCACTTAACATTTATAAAATATAAATTATAGAGTTAAAAATTAAAAGTTAAAAAATATTAATAAGTTATAACTAGTCAACATTAATTATATAAATAAAATAAAACATAAATAGTAAACATTTGTTAAATTCCTTCTGTAGTCCAAAAACGAACGATTTCCACCGCTGTTTCATTTGCCTATATTAGGTCATCTTCCGATCACTTGTTGGAGTTCCTTGGGCATACTAATAGGTGTGTCATTGTCTGTTCTTGACCACATGTGCATTTTGTATCAGAGTCAGTGCTTGATTTGGTAAAATTAAAGAAAGGGGACTCTGTTTGCTTAAAAAAAATTGCGTCCCCAAAGCTTATTAAGCATTATAATCAGGGTTGGGATTTTATAGCACTTAAAATTGCATAAATATGTGCTATAATATTACCTTAAAAATCGCTAAATAAGCTCTAAAAATATGCAATAAAAACAAAAAAAAAAAAAGGAAACTTATTAATTAATAATTTTATACGAGCACACGAGACGAATGTGGACTGTATAAAGCGAATTCTACACTCTTTCGTTGATAATCTACTATAAGTAGATTTAATAGAAATCGAAAAAAAAACCAACAAAATCAGCAGATAACAAAAATTAGAACCAAATAACTAAAACGAAATAATTGTATTAAATTATACCTACCTATATATTATCGCTGTAATTGTACAGAGTTGCATCAGTGTAATCGGTCTATTTACTTAATCTATACATTTATAATTTAATTTAAAATTAAAATTAAAATTTTGAATCTTGAAAATTCGATTAACAAAATCAAAAAACACGTTTACCAAAATACAATTTCATAAAATATACCCAATTTTGATTAAAATACAGGTAAAAGGCAAAAAAGTCTCAAAAAATCCAAAAAAAGCACTATGAACTAAAAAACGCATAATATGCAAAAAAAAAACAAAATAAAATTTTTTATTTGAGTATTCTGTATCATGAAACACATTTTTAGCCTACTCTGCTATTTTATCTCATAAGAAATATGCAAAAGCTATAAAATCCCAACCCTGGTTATAATTATAACGTATTAATAGTAGGAGGACGCTAAAATTTCTAAAAATTAGAAGGGGTACTCCGTCCCCCTGCGTCCCCCCATAAGTCGAGCACTGGTCAGAGTCGTTAAGGTACCCCACCTACACATGTTGTCTTTTGATCTGCCTACACCTACTCTCATTCTGTTGAGGGTTTTCATGTCTGTCATTCTAACTGATGTCCTGGTGGTAGCTGTTCGGCTGGCTCCATTCCCCAGCTTGTGTCTACGATTTGATCTCTCCAGAGGGTTATTCTTTTTAATGAAGGGCTAATAGAGATAACCTAATACAGGGGTGGCAAATATGTGGCACGCGTGCCAAAGTTTGCAAGCATAAGATTTTTGATGGCACTTGAAAATCTATTATTTGTCCATATATATTTATAAATTTTTAATTAACATACAATAAATGTAATTATCAATTGCACATATTAATATTATATACAACCATGTATTGTTATTTTATATTTATTATTATAAAATATAATTTATATGCTGTATTGGTATAGTGGGACACTAAATTACTAAAAGTGTGTGTTCACTTAAATTAGAAGTTGTATTCTAACAAACAATAATAATAATTTAATATTTTTTTACATTATTTCTATTTTTACATAACTTTCTACTTTATAATTATTATTTTTTCATTTATGTTTTTCTGTGTTAGTAAAAATAATTTCGACACGGCTGAATTTTTTTTTTTTTAATTACCTATGTAATTGGCACGTTGAAAAAATTCTATTTGCCATCCCTGATCTAATACTTATACCCGAAATATAATAATATACCTAATATTGTAGACCATTATAATAATATGGAAAATAATAATTAAACACATACACAGTGTCGTCCTAACTGTCAATAAAGCTCAAGGGCTACAACATTTTACGCCTCCTCCACTTCACCAAAGAAAAATTTTTTGTTATTATTATATATATTATATATCCAATGTTGTTTCTCAAAAACTATGACAGAAAATATTCGTGTCTAGGACTAAGATAATATTATTATCTTAGTATTATCTAAGTTCGTGGTTATTAATATTTGGAATTTCAATAAATAAGTAGCTGAAAAGTGGTATTTAAAATATAAGTAAGGTTGGTTGAGGGGGATGTGGGGCCAATCCCCCCACGGGTCTGTGTTAAATAATTGCACACGTGGAATGCAGTTTTTAAATCGTTGGACTGAGTTCTTCTATATACTAAATTTTTCTCAATTCGAGCACTGAATTATGTTTCTGTATAATGACATTATTATGGAATTACTATAAATACCATTTTCCCGTCGTAATTAAAATATCAAATGTGAAATATTGAATGACGGTCGATCTGACCGTATATTTTTTATAATTTAAATATTAAATATTCAAATACAAAAGTATTTTCTCGTTCATTTAAGGAATCTTGGTATGATTCTTACGAGTGAAATTTTAAATACATTTTGAAAGTATCTGTCTCACCCCTTATTCGATCTACGGGCCATCAATGAATATATATTGTGCACTTAGTGTTCAGTTCTATATTTGAATAACGTATCAGAAAATCATACTTATTTCTAGTGTCCAATTTAAAATAAGTACTAAATGTTTTATTGCTCTTTTTTAATTTCAACTATAAATTTTATTGATATTTCTTGGCTAGGTCAATTAAACCTAAAGATAAAAAATACAAACACACCTTAGCTTCACATGCATACAAATATTTTTTAAATTCGATGCTTCATTTCATCATGTTTCCGCAGGGTCTGATGAAACTGAAACTTCGAATATTGGAAATATTCTATACGCATATCTATATAGATCAATCCTTTGTAATATAATGAAATAAACGGTATTTATACTTTTTTTTTCTACTTATTTTTATTTTGACCATAATCTTAGCAATAGTTATTTATAATTTTTGTATTGTATTGCATAATAATAAATATGCCTCACTTTGTGTAGTTAATTATTAATTTTTATTATGTACAAATATGCAATAATAAACAATACGTTTAATATTTCAAATAGTCGTTCTACTGTTGTCAAAAAAACTCTTTAATAAGGCAATATTTGAAAATGCATTAATAAGATATGAAGATTCTCATAAATCAAAGAAAAAATTGAAATATTCATTTAAACGGAACTACATTAGTTACAAGTTCTTAATAAGCGTTTTTTTTTTTTTTTTGATTTCTCTTCATTACTGCTTGAAATTGTATTAACTTCAAATTATTCTATAAAATTTCTATAAACTAATAACATTCTACAGAGACATATAGAGAATAAGAAACTATATTTAGTGCCATATGGAGAAAGGGATTGATTATTATCAATTTAACAAAGGTTTTGTTGGAATAATTAAAATTTAATAAATATTTTCATCTACTCTTCACCTAGATCACACGCAAAACTACAAATAATGTTATCAATTGATTAAAAAAAAAATAGCATATAAAGTGAATCGATCTCTTTTTGAATTGTTCTTTTCATTCGATTTAAATCGATTCAAAAGATCAATTTATATACAAGAATCGCACATTACTAGTTTAAATACGTCCGTTTACTATTCTCCCTGCTGTTAAATGTTCGGATAACAAAAACATTATTAAAACATGATTTATTATTATTGGCTACAAAGTTCCGTGGTATTCATGTGAACGGTTTTAAAAATCGTGATGTAAATGAACGGGATCGATTCTCGTTATCACCCAGTTGCATAGTGATGATCTATTTTTATTTATTATCTATTGGTTCACACGAACCGGCATTACAACCATAGAGTAAGATTACTATGACGTAAACCATAGTGCACGTAGATGACAGTAATCACGAACCGTTTACCGGATGCGTGCAGCGCATACCGTCCATGATAAAGTATATTTACTTTATCATGATACCGTCCGTGTCCGGTAGTCGTACGTGAGGGAGTCGTACTTGTCTGCTACCCGTCCGCCGATGCAATGTTTTCGTCGTGAATTATTATATGTTTATTTTACACACTAATCGGCCCGCGGCTAAGATGCACGAACATTTCGTGAAACGACGATGGTTTTTCGACCGAGGAACAACGACGTTAAGTATTATTTAATCGTAGGGTTCGTACGATGAGTGTGATCGTTCTAGTCGTGGCTGTACAGTGAAACACAATTATTATAATAATTATTATTGGTATTGTTATTGCAATGAATATTTATTTTCTACCCTATTTTGATATGTAATAGTTATATAACAAAACAACAATAATTACAATAGTTTTAAAAACAAACCTCGACACAATGTGTTTGGTGCTCAAGTACTTATTTCTACTGGTATGGCTCATATATACGTTTGCCTCTATTATACTGCTGTTCGGCAAAGGATTATTGCTACACAGAGATGTGTTGCCCAACAAGTCGGCTTGCAACAACAATGTTGATTCTCTTCGACAACTTACACAGAACTGCACGAATACCAACACCAAAGTAGTCATAATCATCGTTGATGCGCTACGTCATGACTTTGTCGTTCCTTCCGAATTGGACACACCGTATACGAATAAGATCACTGTGTTCAGAGACATATTAGCCAGTTATCCGAGTCGGTCAAGATTGTATAAATTCATTGCTGATCCCCCCACCACAACCATGCAAAGATTGACAGCTCTAACTACTGGAAGTTTGCCTACTTTCATAGATGTTGGTTCAAATTTTGCTTCTGAAGAATTAACAGAAGATAATGTAATCGATCAGTTGGTAAATAATGGTAAAAAAGTTGTGTTCATGGGTGATGATACGTGGGCCAGTTTGTTTCCAAGGAGATTTTATAGGAACTATACATACCCAAGTTTTAATGTTTGGGATTTGGATTCTGTTGACGAAGGAATCAAGAAAAACTTATACCCCGAAATTGTCAAGGATGACTGGGATGTGTTAATTGCTCATTTTTTAGGAGTTGATCATTGTGGTCATAGATATGGGCCAAATCATAAAGAAATGGAAAGAAAGCTTAGTGAAATAAATATAATTTTGAGGTATGAATTTTTTCATTCAAATTAATTGCATGGTATTTAAGTCACCTTTTACATACATTATATTAAGTTTATGAACTTTTCAGAGATATACTGAAAGAAATTCTAGGACGTGAAAATATTATTCTTTTTGTGTTGGGTGATCATGGAATGACATCAACTGGTATGTATTAATTAATATAAATATATTTAAATAAAGTCAAATTAAATATTTATAAATATTATTTTTTAGGTGATCATGGTGGAGAATCTGAAAATGAATTAACATCTGCCCTTTTTGTACTATCATCGTCTGAAGAATTACAACCAAAAACAGAAAGTGATATAAAACAAGTTGACTTAGTTCCTACTTTATCAACATTAATGGGTGTTCCTATTCCATTCTCAAATATTGGCTCTCTTATTAAATCAGCCTTACCACAAAACTTTCATTTAGTCAATAGTATTTGGAGGAATGCAAAACAGATTAATGATTATCTTACTACATACTCTTTACAAAACGATGAACTTAATGATAAACATATTAATTTTATTAAAGATACATTCAATATGTTAGATGTTCAACAAAGTTCCAATACATTTGTAAAAAGTTGTGAAAATTTTATGCAACTAAGCAGAAGAGCATGTGAAGAAGTTTGGATACGTTTCGATGAAAGTTCTATTCATAAAGGTTTACTCCTAATGTTTGTATCTTTATACTTCAGTTTTTTACTTGTTGGTTCGTCAGCTTTAGATCATTATGATAAAATTACTGGCAAACAAGTGCTCATTATATTTTCCATAATTTTACCTTTGAATATAAGTGCATTTTTATTTTACTTTTATAAGGTAATTCATATAACTGTAGTATTTTTTGTTACTGGATTTATAGGTACTATTTTCCTTGCAATATTTTGTGTGGTTGTTTGGCCATCATTAACCCAAGATTTTCTTAGTACAAACAAACCTGATCAAATACTTTTACGAATATTTACTGTATCAACTACCCTTGGATTCTTTTCTAATAGTTACATTATTGAAGAATCATATGTATTGCATACATCATTTGTCTTATTATTGTGGTATCTAGTTATCAAATTTAAATTAGAAAACAAAAAAACATGGTTTCGTAATAAAATAAAACCTAAACATTTTTCTCTTAAACACTGGATTACATCATTAAACTGCAAAGTTATTTGGTGTTCAATTGTCCTTTGTGGTATATTACGTTTCTCTCACTTATTTTGGCAGTGCCGTGAAGAGCAAGGATGGTGTTTTGAAGATGGATCTCAAATCAAATCAGGGAATTCAGTCATTTCAATAGCTGTTATAATAACTTTTGTAATTATTGTACATAAGTTATTAAAATGTTCTGGAAATTTAACTGGATATTCTTTAAATGTCTATTTATCTTCAATTTTACCACGAGTAGCTACTGTAATGTTGGCTGTTCATTGGATATTTGATTCTTCATTTCAACGTGGCAAGACCTTACCATATGTGGCTTATTTACCTAATGTTATTCTATTGCTAACAGTAATACTTATAATAATATTATTCATTAGCCCATTACTGATTCACTATGTAGACTTACAAGAAGGAGAGACTAACCTATCAAAAAATTTGTATGAAATGATTTGCAGAATATTTAAAAATATTGTAAAAATGCAATTAGGTCCTTCCATTCGAGGTTATCCCATAGTATATGGTTTAGCCACAGTTTACAGTGCAACTTTTTTAATATTTTCTATGCTGTTATGTATTATTGGAGGACTAATATTTGGATATGTGTACGCAGTATCTGCAACAATCATGATTATTTCTATCTGGATATTGGCCATGATAGTATCGGTTATAAGGCATAATCAGTGTACAAAAATTAGTAAGTATTTATTAATATTTGTATTTATTTAGATTGTTTATTGTTTATTAAGTATAGATAAAGCTTAGTAAATAATCCATCATTTGGTAATGTTATTAAGGATGATAAAAATAGTTTTTAAATGTTTTACAGATGAATTATATACTGTGAACTGGTTATATATTTTGTTATGGACTTTGTCATCGTCATACTGGTTTTATGGCACTGGTCATAATCCTTCTTTTCCTGCTATACATTGGAATGCTGCATTTGTTATACAATCAAAAGTAGAAAATAATACATGGCTTCCAGGATTTTTAATTTTGACAAACACATTTTTTTCACAAGCAGTTCATGCATTTTTATTACCAGTAATTCATAAAATTAAATATTAAAAATATACTAAATTGTAAAACTTATTTTCAAAAAAATGAAATTCAAATACCATATATGTGCTAAAATAATTATTTTTAAATGTATAATAATTAGTATGTATGTTTATAATTTTAGCTGTTATTAATTTGTCCATTTTCCATTCATGGTGCTTGGTCAGGAAAATCATTGCCTCCGAAAGATGAAAATGAACAGACTATGGCTAGAGGTGAACTATTATTAGCTGAAAAATCTAGACAAATGATACATGGTGCATTTGATCTGACTGTTAAATATATTCTAGCTAATTGTTTTCGGGTAAATTTTATATATTCTTCTAAATTCTGAATAAATATTAAATTTAATTATTTATGTTTACTCTTAGGTGGCTATGGTTATGGCAGCAACTACTATCCATTCTCGCCATTTGATGATGTGGAAAATTTTTGCTCCAAAACTGATATTCGAAGGAATAGCACTATTTATTACATTGCCTTTTTCTCTCTTTGGATTTATTCTAATGTACCGTGTAACTCAACACATTAATGTGTTATTTGAAAGAATTATGTCACAACATTCAAGTTAAGGATATTTTATTTGATTAAATCACAAAACAATTGTTCATAGAACATTCTTCGACTGTTTAGTGTCTAGTTTTTTTAATTTAAAACTTAATTTTTAACTATAGTTTAAAAGTTAATTTAATTATATCTCAAATAGTTTAAGTTTTGTTTTCTTAATAATTTTGTATTGATTCACGTACATATGCTTTATATTAAATATAAAAATATTGTTTTGATCGTATTGAAATAATATTAAAATGTTATTTGATAATACGATATTCTGTATTTTATTTCATTTACAGTATTTATATTTTATAGAGCTTTACAGTTAATGAAAATTTACGTGTATCATTTTGTTTTGTGTTAAATTTTTTATGTGTTATCTATTTTCATTATAAGCCATGACTGACTAAGTAGATAAAAAATTAAAATCATTATTTAAGTAGTTATGTATGCTTTGTTGGTTGAACCTTTAAAATTAATGATAAATATTTTTTTTTTTTTTGTAGCATTATTGATAGTAATGTATTAAATGTACTAAAAACAAAATTCTGAAAAATCATTATTACTTAAAATGTGATTCTAAAAACATTTTTATTGATTGTAAATTGTATTTAATGTTGGTTTATTATTATACTAAACAAATTATAATCAATACTTTTTAAAAAATCTATATGTGTTTTATATGCCTGTAATAATTACAATTATTGTAACATTAAACAAATAACAATAATTAAATTACTCCGCATTTAATAACTGATTAAAGGTAGGTAAATAATTAACTTTTTTACATATTTATTGTACAAGTATTGCATTTTTATTTCGTAACTATATGTCCATTGATGGATAATTAAACCTTGGCATTTATGTTAAACAAACTAATAGTTAGGTGTATAAAACTCCAAATTATTATACCTCAAATGAATGACAATTGACTTTATAGGTTTACAATTGTCCAATAATAAAAGAAAAGAAATCGGTCAATTAAAATCAATTTACAAAGGTCAATTATTCTACGTATGAGAGTAAAATATTTGATACTAAATTTATTAAATTAATGCTATTTTTAAAATTAATATCTAGTTGTTCATTTTAATATTTTGTAAATATGTTGTTTTATATTTTAATAAGTAATACCATTGATTATAAATATTAATAATGTATAATCAATGGTAATACGCTTGGATATAATAAAAATAAGAAATTAAATTAGCTATCATTATTGTATATTTATATCCAAAATATTATGCTTTTGCATTTATTATAAATATTTAAATAAAATAGAAAAGTAGCATTCAAGGGAAGATTAGATCAGGGGCGTCATTTGGGGAGGGGGGGCAGGAGTATGCATTTGCTCGACCTTAGATTTTAAAGTAGCCAAATGGGTCGGTGGCCGGGTCTAAGCAGGCCGGGTTTTCTATAATAATCAATATAATCTTAAATCTACTGACTATTCTAGAATATACTACATAATATAAAAATAGAAATTTGTGGTATATCATAATAATATATTAATTAATACGTTATTATTATTATTTATTATTAATTTAGATGAAGCACTTTACATTTTTGCTAGAATGAAGAATCGTCGCTACCCACTTATAAGCTAAGTAATGCACAACTATAATGCTTTTAGAAATAGTTATTTCTTTAAATTGTAGTAGTAATAAAGAACAAAGAATTATTTTAGTCTTTAATTCCTTTTTTTTTATTATTTGCTTATGCTTATTTGCTTATTGCTTTTTTAAATTTAAGTATTATAATTTTTTTTATGTTATAATTCAAATAAGGTATACTTAGTGAAACAGTGCCACAGTTGAGGTACTTTAATGCATATTTTATTGGGAAACTATTATTAATATTATACAAATATTATTAATTATTTGGTTTTCAGAGTAAACTACCTACATTGAAGATTTTAATAATATGTTGATGTGAGTTAAGATTAGGTATTTATGTTTTAATAAGTAGTATGTTAACAAAAGCGGCTACAGTTTGTGTTATATAAATTATAAAGTATAAAAATAATGATTGAAATAAAAATTTGGCTAGCTAGCGAGCGGAGCGAGCGCCTTTTTTTTATATATAATTAAAAGTGTTAAAGTTATAGGGCCAGTCATTATTATGCCCTACCCTATCAAATATTGAAATGACGCCCCTGGATTAGATTAGTGCTGATTATTATGATAGTATTTAATAATAACAAAATACATTTATAAAAATTGAAACAAAATGATAGTTTAGTATTTAATATAAGACCTAATTTTAAAGCAAACAAAGCTAATTAGTTTATAATTTATTATTTAGAAGATATAAAATAGTTTGCTTAAACAAACTCACTTTTATAACAAAACTATTCAAATGGTAAGTGATGAGGGAATATTATAAATATTACCCGATTATTTTAAATATATTACATTTTTAGAATAGGTTCACATGAATCTTATTTATAATAACTATTTATGTCAAGTAAAATCTTTAAACTAAACCACCATAATACTTATTTATATTAAATTAATAAGGAATAATCTTAGAATTAAAAATTATATTTTTTAAGATATTAGCATCTCTTGCCTTAGTAAAATTATTTAATCGACATTAATTATATGTAATAATACAAGGTGTTCCTCGAAGATACACCAATTTTTATGTATCTCTATGTAATGAAGATGATTAAATTCTATTATAGATAATGATGGAAGTGAGGAATATACCTTATGATTTCACTATCATTATGTGTCCCCTTGAATTTCCACACGATTTCGACTAGGATTCAGTGGTTAAAGTGGTTAAGGACGGAGTCCCCTTTCTTATTTAAGTTAAGATTATGCGTCCTCTTTGATTTAATTCGTTAAAAGTCCAGGTGGACACTTAATGGCATTGGTCACTAACATACAATATTGTATATACAATACTTATTATAATATTACAATATTAGATGAAATTTATTTTCTTGATTAATTTGAACAAGTGGAAAAAATTTCGGAGAAATATAAGATATAACAATAAGCAAAAATGGTAGATAATGTACACCATGGGTTAATTTAATTGACGCTGTGTCTAATCATAGATGATCCCGAGCGGTTAATAACCATAGCTCTAAAATTAAAGTAATAATGATATCGACTATTATTTAGAATAAATATAAACAGAATAGAATAACTATAAATAGTATAAATATTAAATTGTGATAAAGGATAGATACTATCTTATAGATAGTACAATGTACCTACGTATTTGTTACTGTCTATGTTGAGCAACAACTACCAAGATTAGTAATTGTTTCTTTTTAGTTTTGTTAAGTTGTTTTTTAAACATTACCTACTATGCATTTCAATTTATTTTTATTTTACATGTATAGAATTAATTTTCTTTAGTGGAAATTTGTTTTTATACCCTATGAAAATAAAGTTTTTATGAACATATATGCAGTGGTTAAAGTGGGAATAATGTTGTGGGGGGACTATATTCATCAAAAATTGAGGAGCGATCCCCTTCCTAATTTTAAATCTTACCAACCTTTTTTAAGAAACCCATGAGGTTTAAGCCTCTTTTGTTGCACATATTTAACATAGGTATGTTCATAAAAATTTTATTTTCATAGAATGTAAAAACAAATTTCTCTCAAAGAAAAATAATTCTATACATATGCCTGCTCAAAAAAAGTAAATTGAAATACATAGTAGGTAATGTTTAAAAAACTTAACTTAAACTTAACAAAACTGAAATGAAACAATTACTAACCTTGTTAGTTGTTGGTCGACGTAGACAGTAACAAATACGTACATTGCACAATACTGTCTATATTATGGACGCACCATAACTCCGCACGAATACAATTATTTTGTAAATCCGCAACTCCGCATGCACCGCAATTCCGAACGGTCAAGAAAATTAACGTACCATAGCTCCGCATTCTAAAAATATTTTTAACACCGAAAGTCCGCACGGCATAAAATAGCGAGTCTTATCATGCCAAATTTGGTAATTTATTTACTTCAGCACATCCAAATATTGCAGTTTTCATTAATATCTTATTAGCTATGCAGACGGATTCTTACATACTAATTAATTCTGCTAATAATAATGAAAGTAGGATAGTTAGAACTAAACAAAAAACCAATATGGAATTTATAAATAAAAACAGAAATATATAACGACGGCCAAATTGATAGATATAAATTTGTAAAAAGTTTTGCACCATTTAATAATATTTAGTTTTAATTTACATTTAATTTTATATGAACGACGACGATATTTGTTGTAAATTGTTTTTATTATTATACATTTTTTTAGTTTATTAGATTTTAGTTGTTACTACGAATAAAAACATATAATTATATAATGACGGCCGATTAATAGAATACTAATTGTATTTTTTTAACGATGTACAAAAATGTCTACAAAAATGATGTGCGGAGTTAGGGTTTTATAAAAAAATAATTATGTGTGGAGTTAAGGAGTAAAAAAAAACCTTGTATGCAGAGTTATATTACAAAATGACCAAAATGCATGCACAGTTACGGTGCACCGTATATTGTAAGATAGTGTCTATCCTCTATCATAATTTAATATGTATACTATTTATAGTTATTCTATTCTGTTTATATTTATTCTAAATAATAGTCGATATCACTATCACTTTAATTTTAAAGCTATGGATAATAACCGCTCGGGATCATCTATAATTAGACACAGCGTTAATTAAATTAACCCATGATGTACATTATCTACCATTTTTGCTTATCGTTATACCTAAATATTATTTCTCTGAAATTTTTTCCACTTGTTCAAATAAATCAAAAAATATATTTCACATAATATTGTAATATTATATTAAATATTGTATATTCAATACTGTATTTTAGTGACCAATGCCATTAAGCGTCCACCTGGACTTTTGGTGACTTAAATTAAAGAGGACGCATATACTTACCTTAAATAAGAAGGAGAACTCCGTCCCCCTCCATCCCCCTTCATTTTAACCACTGCATATATGTGTAACAGAACAGGCTTAGACCTCGTGGGTTTCCTAAAAAAAGTTGGTAAGATTTAGAATCAAGTAGGGCAATGCTCCTTAATTTTTGATGAATATAGTCCCCCA